ACCCATTATATCAGTTTGGGTTTGCAAAGGATGAGCCAATTAACTCCCCATGTGCCCCTAATTGAGCCACTAGATTAAGCCTTCATATCCCCATTCTATGTCTTTCTCACATCATCTTTTGTGTTACTTGATCTAAATATATATCTTTATATATATATAGCAATCATTCATGATCTGGTTTTTGTTGAGGTAAAAGAGACAAGGCGTGGGGCATATTTTGACAATTTTAAAGTTACAATCATCAGTAAAGGCCATAAAAGAGTGCTAAGTGATCAACACTCTAATGTATACATATGTCCTCCACTTTGATTATACAAAAAAAAAAAAAAAAAAAAAAAAAAAAAAATTCTGGTTAACTAAAGTTTCTTACGGGCTTAATAACTATTAATAATGGCTTTCTTTAATACTTTTAAAAGATTGTACGTAAGAGACTAGCTAGAAGGGGACCCTGATATAGCCTATAAAAAGGTTTCCGTATCAAAATACTCTTTAAAAATCTTTTGGTACCTAAAATGAGGTGTCAAAATTTATGTGGTGGTACTTATTTTCTAGCTGAGTTTATACTAAACTTATATATCTGCATTATAGGAATGTTACTTTCTATATAATGGTTATATATACATATATGTGCTCGGGTCAAATTACACTTTTTGACTCCTTTAGGAGGACTAGTATATGTAAGTTTGAATTTAATCAAATGAGAAAATATGAGGTCCCTTTAAAAAGAAAAAGAAAACAAGCAAAAGTTTAGCAGTATGAGAAGTACTTTGTGAACACACACACACACACACATATATATATATATATCAGTTTTGAATTTGTGTACCCTATTGACATGTCATATGAAAAACACGTCAAATTATTTGTACTTCTAGCTAGCTACTTCCTCTTAATATATGCTACATTTTTATAGCAAATTGCTTTCCAAGCTACTAATATTATAGCATATAATAAAATGATCATCTATACTATCATAATCCCTTTGAAAAAGAAATCTGAAGTGTCAGCTAGCATATAATATACTATATGTATGCGTGGAGATATTTTATCCTTTTTTTCCCTCAAGCAGAGCATATATTTATGTATACATGCCTATCTCCCTAAGATACACACACACACACACACAAATATGTTAAAGTGAATTTGTTTTGGTTTTTGGTTTTTTTTTTTTTTTTTTTTTTTTTTTTTTTTTTTTTTTTTTTTTATGCGTGAGGAAATTTTTATGCATAAGTTCCATAGTATGTAAAATTTTCTTGTATCAAACAATGCCTTGGTTTATGACAGAAGAGAATGAGTCTAAACTAAAGGAATTTTTAGAAACTTGGAAAAGTAGCTTTCGAATTTTAGAAAAAATGAACCTGAAAAGAAGTCAAACTCAAAAGTTATTTTTCGTATCATTAAAGTTACTAAAGTGTTTCTCACAAGGGAACGCCGTTAGAGAGAAATTTTCATTTAATCTCATTTGTTTATGTCAAGTAGTCCATGTTTAACAATCATAACAAATGGATTTAAAACTAATACTTCTTGATGGCATATTATTTTTTATGTTTAGGTCAATAATCACTAGTCTATTCCAACCAAATAACGTAACGACATTAATATATAATGCGATTTGATTAACTATTTTATTAACATAAACTCTACACCGACGACGAACTACACTTTCCGACAAACGACAAATTATTTTTAACGTCTAATAATCAAAACTCTCAACCCCCCTCAAAGAAAACAATCCTTCTCCATGTCTTATTTAAACCATTTCTCTAATCCCCTGATCATGCTTAGTTTCTTTATAAGTGTCTCACAAAAATCAGCTCTCTTTCCATGCTTATTCTTGAATATTCGAGAATAAAATCCAAAATATTATCCCATCAAATCCCAAAATTTGTTCTTCATCAAAACAAAGTCAAACAGAAAGAGGGTAATATCAAAAGGACTTAATAATAACAACAATGTTAATAATTAATTATAATAATAGAGGTGAAGAATATGGAATCTGTTTTGGCTGTGACCCCTAGAATGATCAGGGACAGACAAGAAAGGGTGTAGGCCAATAAAACGTCTGTACACAAATTGGTCGTATTATATGGATGTGAATGGCAGTGAGGGAAAAGGGAAGTGTCTCGCTGGCTACGTATTTTCCAAGATAATATATAAATATATAATCTCATATATATACATATATATATATATCCTAAATATATAAATATATAATCTCATATATATACATATATATATATGTCCTAAATATATAAATATATAATCTCATATATATATATATCCTACGTGTAACTGTCGGTCATGGTAGCGTCTATCAAACCCCCCAATCATTGAGACTTCATTCAATTCAGGGATTTAATACAGTGTGCCCACTCCCATTGTGATTTGATTGTGCATGACACGTGACAGAACTAAGGGTAGGAGATGAAGGCCCCACTAAAATTTTTGCCGAGTGTACCGAGACCACAAGTGAAACGAAAAGTAATATGATTTGTGCTTTTAATATCAATTGATATCTAAGAATTAAGTGTAAGGTCTCGTCAATTTAAGTTATATTTGACAGGCTGATAAAAAACTCGATTTTAACATCACTATGAACAATGTAAATCGATCCCTGAATGTTAGATTTCATTCGCCAATTCGAGTTGATATATAAATTTACGTAAAAAATTTTAATTATAACAGAAAAAATTAAATATAATTTTTTATAAAAATTTGTAACTATAATAAAAAAAATTAAAAAATTAAATATTTGAAATGAGCGATTTTTTAAGAATTATAGGAACTTATCCTTCGCCGTTATATGAACGTGATGGAAAACTTTCATTATTATGTTAATCTGTGCCCAGTATATATTACCAATTAGATTACGTGTGATTTTGGTTATAAGTTAATGGTATATGAGTCATGTGTGGAGGCAAATAAATCTCTTTGAATCTTTTCTTTTTTTATTTTTGTATCTTTTCTAATAAATTTGCTCCTTGAGGGGACCTGCCTCCTCTTATATCCTTTTCATTTAAATTCCTGTTCATTTATTGGAAAAGATGACTCATGACAGGAGAGGAACTTTATTATTTTTTCTCTTTTTTTTTTTTTTTTTTTTTTTTTTTTTTTTTTTTTTTTTACCCTTTGGAAAATGCACATGAAACTAATATCTTTGGGACCATAATGTGTACAACTTGTGTACCCATCAATTCTCCACCTTTTTGCCTGCCCAGGAACAAGCTGCAAAAAAATTAGTGGCAAAAATTGGGAAAGAAGTTGATAATTATCTATGTCTTCATCAGGGAATAGAACTATTATGTATAAAATCTAGCTGGAGTAGATATTCTTTTCTGCTTTAGTAAATAAATAAATATCTTTCATGTCAAAACAACCAACCATGTGAATTCATACATTCCACGGTCATAATTAACAAAATATGTTTTAAAAAGTGATTCAATGAATGTATTGATTGTCCAAAAAAAAAAAATTAACAGAGAGGAAAATTAGTAAGCCCTTTTTTTTTTTTTTTTTTTTTGTCTACGATCGATTTCTTGTTGGAAAAAACATATCCTACTATGACCAAGAATAGTATTCCACAAAAAAAAAAAAAAAAAAAAAAAAAAAAAAAAAAAAAAAAAAAAGAGGAAAATTCTTCATTGACTATATTAACTTTCACTTTCTTTCTTTTTTTTTTACTCTGAATGAGTCATTTTCTCTTTCCACTTTCTTATTTTCCTTTTGTTTGTCGATTTACTATTTTGTTTCAATATTGTCCCCTTATCTTAAGAGTCAAATATATAAATGGAGCCCACGGCTCTTGCTGTAGCGGTGTCGGCTGATTTTATAATCCCAAAATATTCACTGGAAAATCTTATTACAATTTATATTATAATATATTATTTATCCATGCCTCAAATGCATTATGCACTGCTTACAGTAGCTGGCAAGCAAGCCTGAAACATGCTATATAATTTTATTCTTAACTTTCTATATGCATGTTTCAAACAATTTATTTAAAGGAAATATATATATATATATAAGGATAAAAACAAATGACACTAATTTATTACAAGTTTGGAAACCTCTGTATATTATATATCTTCCTCTATCTTCTGGTAATTTCTCCTTTACACATGCATATTAATTTATTGAACTAGACCACATATTGTCCACTTTAACATAAATATTTCCTGAATTTCCAACCATTAAATCAAATGGTTCAAAACCATACTCAACATTAGTAGGCCTCAGTACTTAATTAATTATTAATTAAGTGAGTACTTCTAAATGCATACACCGCATAATTAGCACATGTGGTCAATTAAGAAAACGTCCTAAAGGTCTTATATTTATGCAAGCAATACTAAATGAAGGGTCCCCATTTGGGGTTATGAGGTTTTAATTAAGCTGTGCTTTGCTTCCCCGCTATTTAGAAGTCTCACTTTTATAATTCCCACTTTTCATAATATCCTTCAAGGATCTTGTGGTAACTTTTTGTCCTAAATAAAAAATATATATATATGATAATTTAACAAAACTTCATAAAAATCCGAGGATTCATAATACTTACTGAAAAGTATTTCTTCTTTACTCGCCTAGCTAGCAAAGAATTCTCCTCAATATATTTTATAGGTCCCTTACATATATATATACACACACACACAAGTACACGTTTATGGAGTTGTTCTCGTTTTATTGTACACATCAACCTTTTTTTTTCTCCCTTTAATTTAATTTTTATTTTTTTGCTAGAGATGATCATCATAGAGATATCTTAAAAACCAATCCAGTCCAATGCAAAAGCAGCACCAGATTTGCGTAAAACCCACTTGATTGTTTCACCTTCCTCTACCCCTCTTTTTTGTTTCTCCCCTCTCTCTCTCTCTCTCTCTCTCTCTCTCTCTCTCTCTCTCTCTCTCTCTCTATGACTTGAATTCTAAGTATGATTATCCCTCTTCCCTTTAAATCATAAGAAACTATTCTTGATCTTTCCACTTCTTTCAGACATAGACATATATTCCTCTCAAACCTCATTTTTTCTCATGTCCAGCTACTACTTCTCCTTTCGGTGAAAATATATCTCAAACCAAAGCTAGCGGTTACTTCAAACTTTCATATCATCACAAATATATATCTACATATATATATATATATATATAAGCACAAACACACATCGTTTTCCTTAAAGTAGTACAAGAGAAAGGGGGAAAAACAAGAAAAGAAGAAGAGGAAAGAGAAACATGGGACGTCACTCATGCTGTCTGAAGCAGAAGTTAAGGAAAGGTCTTTGGTCACCTGAAGAAGATGAGAAACTCTTCAATTACATCACTCGATTCGGCGTCGGTTGCTGGAGTTCAGTTCCTAAGCTTGCTGGTACCTAATTTTAATTTATTAAATAAAATATTTATTTGAATCAGTTCTTGCATATTTATATACACAATTAAATTAACCTGGACTGGTTAATTGTTAATTAATATGTTGAATAACTTGTAGGATTGCAAAGGTGTGGAAAGAGTTGCAGATTAAGATGGATAAACTACTTGAGACCCGATTTAAAGAGAGGAATGTTCTCACAACAAGAGGAAGATCTCATTATCAGTCTTCATGAAGTTCTTGGCAATAGGTAAATTTAATTATATATATCTATATATATAGTATATTTATATAGTACAAGACACGCATATATGTGAAGAAAATTTTTATTTATTTTTAAAAAAAAAAAATTCAGGTGGGCACAAATTGCAGCACAATTACCAGGAAGAACAGACAATGAGATAAAGAACTTCTGGAATTCATGCCTAAAGAAGAAGTTAATGAAGCAAGGGATTGACCCAACGACACACAAGCCAATAAACGACACTGAAGTGATCAAGGAAAGTAACAAGAGTATGATGGTGAAGAATAGTAATTCTAGAGACCAAATTAAGGATCACCAGTCTAATTTGGCACCAAACCACCAAGCTTCACCACTACTTCCAAATTATGTCTCCTCAACATTGGCCTCCCATGGACCCACATTCCTCATCTCCGATTCCGCTTACCTAGAATCCGCTGCCGCAGCCACCGCCGGCGGCGGCGGATCAAACTTCACATTGAGCAACAACAATTCACTATCTTTCTTTGATAGTGCTATTAATGAGGCTTATAATAGCAATTGTGAAAATCTCAATATTTCACAATTCCAAACCTCAATTAGACCCTACAATAAGTACTATGATCATCATCATCACCACCAAACAGCCTCAACAAGCTTCAATGCCAGCTTCACTTCAATGCCGAGTTTAGCAAGCTCCGACCGCGGAAACATGTCCATGACCACGACCACAACCACGACGGCGACCGCAGACTTCTCCGACAACAACAACAACAACTCCTTCTTCTTGAACGAGGTTAAGGAGAGCAACTCCAGCAACAGCTCCAACGTTAGCAACTATATGCAGAACAATAATAATAATGTGGGATTTTCTTGGGATGCCGACAACAAATTGGACTCGTTTTTTCAGCAGTTTCAGGTGATGAATAATGGCATCAATGTTATAAAAACTGAGGAAATGATGATGAGGCCAACAGCTACAAGTACTACGAATTCATCAATATTATCATGGCAAACCTCTCATGTGGATCATTTGATCAGTAGCTATCCGTTAACGTCGCTTTCAGAAGATTTAACAGGTGCTAATTTTGATAATGTTTTCCAGCATATTTCATGAAATTCAGTGTAAATTCATGATTAATTCTTTTTACTCTTGTTTTTGTTTTTGTTTTTGTTTTGTTTTTATTTTTATTTTTTGTTTTTATTTTTGGGTTATTTGTATACAATTATACACAAGTGATCACAAAGATGTTGATAGTAACAGGAAAAATATATTCATGTGAAGGTTTGAGAATTGAAGTGTTTTTTTTTTTTTTTCCTTTTCTTCTTTTCTTCTTTTTCTTTTCTTTCTTTCTTTTTTTTTTTTTTTACATGACTCGGCAATGATTAAAAAGGGAAAACTATAGGGTAGCTCATTTTTTTTTTTTCCCTTTTGAGTTCTTAAATCTTTGTAATATTTTTTTTTTTAACTTTTGTAATTGTTTCAAGAGGAGTTGAAATAATAATGTAATGAGTGTAACTAATTCTTGGGGTTAATTATTCTAATCTCTTATCTCTCTCCATGTTGTATCTAACTAATTTTCATTATTACATATGTGCCGTTATAGATGTTGCTTCCTTTTTTTCCCGTCTTTTTCCAAACTTACCCCTATTTATAAGTTCTTTTACACACATAGGAGTTAACATGAGGCAAATTTTAATCCGAACCCGCAAGCTGAATTTTTTTTCTTCTTTCTTCTAAAGTGAATTAATTAAGTAGCCCTTACCCATTTGGGTGATCATCATTTATACTATTTTAATGTGAAAATTAATACATTAAATTGGAAATGTCACATATCATTATAGATAGGTGGGGTTGGGTTGAGATTGTGATATTTTTGAACCGCTGGCATAGTTTTAATACGAAAGAAAGATCATAATTCCACCCAAATTAAAGTCACAGATATGCTGATTTTCTGGCACATATATGATCCATATGCGGGCTCCATTTTTGGAACATATTTGATCCATTAAGTCCTTCCAAAAGGCTTAGTACTTGGCTGGCCTCTACATTATTGGGGAGAGAGAGAGAGAGAGAGAGAGAGAGAGAGAGAGAGAGAGAGAGAGAGAGAGAGAGAGAGAGAGAGAGAGAGAGAGAGAGAGAGAGAGAGAGAGAGAGAGAGAGAGAGAGAGAGAGAGAGAGAGAGAGAGAGAGAGAGAGAGAGAGAGAGAGAGAGAGAGAGAGAGAGAGAGAGAGAGAGAGAGAGAGAGAGAGAGAGAGAGAGAGAGAGAGAGAGAGAGAGAGAGAGAGAGAGAGAGAGAAGAGGAATATTGTAGGGTCTTCTTTTACGGAAAACAAAGAAAAAAATGGTCCAAATTTGTTTAATCAACTTTGATTTTTATTTTCAAAACCTTTGATTGTTTTGATCAAATGTATTGAGACGGTTTTATAGAGGGCACTCCTATAAGGCCATAACAAAAAACACGGTGGCAGTCAGTCACCGGCAACATTCAAAACTCAATCATATTATATAAATAGTACGCGCGCGTATAATATTTATATACCCACACACACACCACTAGCTATTACAAAAACCTAAAAAAATACACTAATTGTAGTCATCGTAATTGACATAGTATAATGTACAACAAAACTTTATTGACTTCTCATCATAATATTAACACACTTCATTAGACGACAGAGTTTTACTGTTGTTTCTCAACTCCAAATCTGTTTTTTTTGTCCCGCCCTTTCATTTCCTACGTGAAATAGAGATTATAATTTAAACCTCAACCATTAAACGTTAATGTGAATGTTACAGGACTATCTCAATGTCACTTTTAGTGCATATAATATATATTTATATAGGTCATGTTTGATAGCTTGTATTGTATTGTATAAAGTGTATTGTATTGTGTTGTATTATCATAATACAACACGGTATTTGGTGTCAAGATGTATTGTATAAGGGGTTAAAATATAAAAAATTAATAATTTTGGGGTCAAAGTGTAATTTTTGAAATGTTTTAGGGTTAAAATCTAATTTTTCAAAAGTTTCGGTGTCAAAATGCAATTTGTAAAAGTTTTGGAGTCAAAATATAATTATAAAAAATATAAATTTTCACTGTGCTCCCTTAATTTTTTTAACCATCATAGACTTCGCCATTACCCTATGTCGACCCGACCCCGACCCCTAGTCGATCATGTCCAACCCGACGTGAATTATTGATCCACTATAAAATAATACAATACAATGTGCCAAAAATGAATCATATTCAATAATACGATATAGACCGTATTAATTTACAATCCGTATTAATTTATACAATACGATGACCACACTAAACATTGTATTATTGTATTATTTTACAATACGGTGTTCTAATACGGTCAAACAGACATGTCATAGAGAAAGAATTTTAATGGACATCAAAAAAATACCTTATATCAATATGGTTTTGTTTTAAATCGTTTAACAGATTCTGTCAATTTAACTTTTTTTTTGTTTTAATTTGATATGATTTTAGTTAGATTTAACGTTTAAATCGAAGAATACTTATATAGAAAGATCCTATTATATATATATGATTGGAGTCTCCACATACATATCAAGCTTCTATTCTATTGTGGCTGCTAAAGATACCTTAAAAGTTCAAGAGGGAAAAAGTTGATTCCTGAGCATGCATGTGATGATAGAATCACATAGCCATAGGGGGTTAAATATATATTGATATATATATATATATATATATATATATCAGCCTTTACATAGCCCTAGTTGTTGTATAATTCAATTATATATAGGTGGTGGTGGGTCAATCTAAATCACAGAAAGCTGCTCCAAATTTTTTTTTGTATCCACGAGACAACGACAAGGTTTTTGAACTCCTCTAAATTTGGAATAGCCTTAGTGTCAGGGCCAGCAATATATTTTGCAACTCTTTGTATCTTTTGTTGCTATGCATTTGGATCAAATATCATTCCAATTTCCAATGCCTAGTAAACGATAGGCACTTTGCACCAAATTAGGACCATATATATTAGTGGATGTCGTTTTCATCTCCATTCATATGTATGTGTATATATATATATATATATATATGCGCACTTTGGTCGTGTTCGAAAAAGAACTGTTTGAGAAATTGTGAACCAAAACTAAAGACTTATTTATGTACTATGGTTGAATCCAATAAAATTTGCAAGGAAAACGATGGGTCGTCACTACCTAACTCTTGCATCGACCTTATCTTATATACTAAAGTAGTTCTCCTGAAAATTGTGACAAGTAAACGGAAAGAAAGAAAAGCACAAGATGATCAGTTTGCTGGCAATATTAGCAAAAATTGCTTTGAGAAGAAAAATGGAAAATGCCCACCAGCAAAAAATTGCACAAACTACAGTGATTTCCACAAAGTAATTTACACGCATTTAGTTTATAAACATTAATTCCTGCCTCCATAATGAGCAACAACAACAGATTCACCCTGTTAGAGGTGGTGACTTCTGACCCCATCTTCTCTCTCTCTCTCTCTCTCTCTCTCTCTCTCTCTCTCTCTCTCTCTCTTAATTATAATTACATCAAGTTTGGTTCACGACTATAATTCATGGTGGTGAAAATGAAGAGTAATCAAGGTTGAAAAGTGCCCTGTTAAGGTAACTATAAAGAGAATGCGTGCGCGCGCGTGTATATATATATATATATATATACACATATATAAGAGACTCTTTTTTTCTTAATAATGTATAAAATTTATATCTCATTTTCAACTATGGGTGATTTAAAAAACTATGATATAAATCGTAAAATATATATATATATATATATACACGTGCGTGTGTTGCAATATGAAAAAGATTATTATCACTAATGTTCTGAATTTTAAAATCGTTCCTAATTTGCTCCTGAACTTTAAAAACTCTCACTTTATTCCTTTAATTTTAAATTATTTTCACTTAACCTCTTATATTGTAATTTTTGGTAAAAACATATAGAAAAAAGAGAATAACACAGTCACGTGGTCTTTCTGCTTAGATTTTTGTTCAAAAGAAACGGATAAAAACCACATGATCACACTTAACTCCTATTTTTCTGTCTGAGTTTAATAGAATTTACAACAAAGGGTTAAGTGAGAACAATTCAAAATTTAGGGGGCAAAGTGAGAGTTTTTAAAATTTAGGAGGCAAACTGAGAATAACCATAAAGTTCAGGAGAACCGGTGAGAATAATCCTATGAAAAAAGTTAAAAAGTTTAAACAGATGAAAACTTTGATGAGATATTGAGATTTAAGTAGCACATGCATCTCAGAAAACGAGATGTAAAACTTAAAGGTGTTATTTGTGCTGTTCATATATCTATTTAAAATAGGGACCATCTCCGGTACGTCAAGATATCAGTAGGTCAAGTTTTTTGTCCGTCAGATCTACATAAAATCACGTAAAATTCAAAAAGTACACAAATCCAACGATTAAAAACCTGATTCATTAGTACATCAGGTATACCAAAAAATCTCCCTTTAAAATATACCAACTCATAATTTATCCTTAAACGAAAGGGCAGGTAAGAGAATAGGTTGTGATAGTTAAGAAATTGCATGAATTACTTATAATAAGAAATACTTACTATAATTATGAGTTTTTTCTTACAAATAAATTATTTTATAACTATATATTAGTTTTTAACTATTAAATTTAGTTAAAATCACATTAAATTAAAAATGTATACGTAACGGATAGTATTTAACGATGGAAAGATAAATAACTATCAACATTTCAATTTTTCCAATTCTACCGTGACAAACTCTCGTATGAATATACTTAATTAAGATTTTCGTACTCTTTTATTACTTGATGTTAAATACACCGTCAAAACATAAATTAATCTAAGCTATATATCTGTGTGTGTGTGTGTGCCGACATTATTGTACTGAAGGAGTCAACATCTAGATTCAACATTCACGAACCAAAGGTCCAAAACGAATCATACTTCTTTTCAAAAAGCGAAAGATCAAGCAGAAAAGAGAGATAAGGAACTGTGTTTGTAAGACTAAGTAGTACCAAGTAATATATATATATATATATATATATATATACACACACACATATATATATATATATGTATGTATACTGTTTTCTTGGTCAAACATTGGCGTCCGACAGGTTTCCTTTGGCATGCTTTGGTTGAAATTATAGCTTCGATTTGAGACATTCCAGAATTGTACGAACAGTACCACCGACACGACGGATTGGTCTCATGTCCAAAAATTACCGAGTTTGATAACGAATTACCATGCATAGCCATAACTAGTTTGGCAAATAAGCGAATATTATGATGTAACACAAAATTATGAAAATTGAGAGCATAATTAAATTTATTAGGACGTGGGGGGTTTTTAGGTTTCAATTAATTGGCATAAATATAGTTGGAGAACTAGATGTTCTAGAGAAAGAAGAAAGTTGCGGGATGTCTAATAATGTAACTATTTCAATTGAGGGTGAATTACGAAAATGTCAATCATATGCAAAAATAAAAAATAAAAAAAGTATTTTACACATTTACCACATGAATTTTTGTGGCTTAATTAGCAATTTACTTCCTAAATTTTTTATTTTAATAAGTTTCCCCTTAACTTGTACAATTATTACAATATGCTTTATTTTAACGATAATTGTGTTAGATTAATGTTGAAAAAACACGTTTGACAAAAAAATTCTAATATTTCAATTCAAAAGTAACACAAATTTTTTAATTCCTCAACTCTAACTCTAATAAAAAAAAATGTGAGCAAATTTAATAAAATAAGATACATTACAACAATTTTATAAGTTCGGGATTAATTATCAAAATTAAAAGTTCGGGGTACAATTTACTAAACTAAGATAAATTAAATGGACAATTATACTAAAAACCCAAAAAGTGGCACATTTTATCTATATATTTGATAAAAATGTAATTGAAGGATTGGATTTGGAACGTCATGAAAGTTCGGATATCAATTTCACAAAAAATCAGATTCGGGAATCAATTTTAAAAAAGAAAAAAAAAATAACGAAATTTAACTAAAAAAGATGGTGAACGTCTTTGTCAATATGTAATGACGCGAGGCAAAAATTGGTATCTGAGTTTGATAAGCTTTTGGATTTAATTGGCCTCCTCGTGGTAGAAATTATGGCCATCTGACGTTTTTTAAGGGCCACAATATTCTATGAAATGAAATCTCGTACACGAAACCTTGAGTGCATTTTCAACATGTGCACGTTTATTTTACTTCGCCACTGAACTAGAAGCATTTGAAACGGTGAACACAAATTCATTTCAATGATTTTTCAGGAATCTTTTTTGCTTGACTATGAACAGTAAGAATTGAATGTGCTTTTAATACAAAGTTTTAAACTAATTTATGCAAGGAGAGTACTCTTTGAGCAGCTATAAACTATAATTAAAACATGGAGATTTTTCAAAGTAGGATATGAACAAATGCCCTACAGGTAGAGTTCTACGTAATCTCTTATTTTATTGCGATTTTGACAATATTGAACGTTTAAAAACATGCACTATTGATATAAGACAGTAACATAAAAAGTATTAACTTTAAGAGTAACTTTACAGTTATTGTGATTTTGATCATATTGAACGTTTAAAAACATGCACTGCTAGTAACATAAAAAGTATTATCTTTAAGAGTAATATTACAGATACAAGAGATATTATGATGCCGTTGAAATAAGAAAATGCCATAACTGCTAATTTGAAGATTGGCATATAGCAATAACAATAATGACATTAAAACACGTGAAAAATAAAACGAGAGAGAAACTTAGGGGAAAAAAATAAAATTTGAAAAGTGTTTTCTTAAGTTTAAAGCCTCAAGATAGCTTCTGATCAAAGATAAAGCTAACTTTGACTACACTATAAAAAAAAAGTGTTCCTCATGTCTCAATTGGTTGCCTTCCTCTAGTCGTTTTAATCACAGAAGAACTAAGTTGTGTTTTTTATGATTGTCTCGTCTGATCTTGGCTTAGACAAAGAAGGAATCGATTCCCTAATTTTCACTCCATTACTCTTCTTGCGGTTTATTATTTGATTAAAACAAAGTTAGGTGAAACAAGAACCTTTTTTTTTTTTTTTTTTTTTTAACATTAGGAGTGCTTTCCTGGACCTTTGCTTATAACCAAGACAATAAATGATTAAATAAAGAATGGGGTCTCTCTGTGGACTTCTTTTGATTTTACAGGTTATAATGACATTTGGGCAAGTTATAAACTGAGCTTATTTGTTGATGAGAGATTACAATACAAAGCCAGCTCTAAAACAATCTACTAATCCATTTCTCTAGATCTCAGCAGTCAGAACATTATGTGCCAAATGATAATTTGAGAGGAAAAACTTTCGACATGAGATTATTAATATGAACTTTTCTTCTGCCTGAAAATTTTCTGTAATTCAAAGTAAATTATATTTGGTTACGTTCTGCTGTTAGTTTCCAAATAATTGTTTTGTTTTTAGCTTTTCTTTTCTTTTGTTTTACTTTTCATTTTGCTCTGCATTTTTCCCGTTCTATGGGGTTTTTTTTTTATTTTCTTTTTCTTTTTCTTTTACTTCCTTACGTGTATTGGTTGGGAAAAAGGATGTCATGTTACATTCTAAATAGAATAAAACAAAGAGCAAGGTTGCAATTTCTGATCAAATCATAACACTTTGATTCCCTTTGAAAGATTAATTAAAAGAGAATTTCAAGGTTCTGGATGAAAATTGGTTGCCACTCATAGTCACCAACATTTTGTTTCTGCGATGGAAAAAGAAAATAAATACCTCTTATAGTGTATGCTGTATGGATCTAAATTTTTATTCTTACTCTTGATTAATACTTTTTTTAGTCAAATAACTATCTTAGTCAAAAGAGTATTAATAAAAAATAAGAAGTAAAAATCTAGAGTCGTGCACTCTAAGATTGAGTTCAACAATTTTTTCTTCTGCTATTAGGAAAAGGAGACAAATACCTTCTTAGAGTGCATGAGTCTAAATTTGTACCATTTACTCTTAATTAATATTCTTTTTAATCAAATATTATATTAGTTAAAATAGTATTAATATAAAATAAAATAAAGGACTAAAATCCGTACTTATACATTTTTATGGGTTTGTTTAGCAATTTTCTCTCCGCTATTTGATGCCCAAATGCCAGGGCCAGTTCCTCATGAACAGCAGTTTGGGCTTGGCGCAGTCTCAGATTGTTCAAAAATCCCTAACCTTGTGTTATTTTTGTTGGAAAATAAAAAAGACAAGTCCATAACTGTACCGATCAAAAAGTCCAGAGGGAAGGCCCTTTAGCAGGACTCAAAAAAAAAAAAAAAAATTGTTTTTTTTTGTTTTTTTTTTTTTGGAATGAAGCAGGACTCAAAACTTAAAATGTCCAAATTTGCTACTCGTCTTGTGTTGTTGTAAACATAATTGCTCCATAGAATGAATAAAGCCCAACATGTTAGTGTGCCTTAATCTGCTATACTATGGCCACTAATCTATAACGGCTATACATAAAATACATACATAAATACATAATATGTATCTGTATCATACACGATCACATATTAACCGGTAACAGAAAATTGGGCAAGACCCTCATATGTACCCAACCTATCTATCACCCAGTATGTTGTCTGCAGAATTATTCAGTCGACTGTCAAACAATTTCAATTCTTCTGCTGACAAACGGCACATAAAACTGCCTATGATAGAGGCAACTTTTTTTTTTTTTTTTTTTTTTTTCTGTCTGGAGTTTCAAATGGTACACGGCAAAATCTTAGTTCAACATCCCTGTTCTTCTCTTCACAGCCCCACAATCAAGTCAACTTTTGGTTTCCTGTTCTTCCTCCTTTGTTTCTTCGATTTTTCTTGGTAGCATATTTCCTCTTTGCAACCAACATGATTATGGCATAGTGTAACCATTAACCACGGGACGTTTGACGAGAATTATTCTGCTAACAGAGAAGTTAAATTAATTCAAGAACAGAAACTGAGTTATGACAATCTAAACAGTTTGCTTCTGGTCCCTGTCAACATTCCAGGAGGAACACTGAAGAGAAAACAGAACATCACAGACGAATATATATTACAGGTTAAACGACCCAAAATAACCGATACTAATGAAAGTTTAAACTACATGGTATAAAGGAAAAAAGAAAACTAAAAATCTTCCAGAAAAGGGAGACAGAGCATTGCCCTAAATCGGGTAATAAGCAAATGATAGCATCGACTTGAGGATAGATATGGACTTGCAACTCAGGGAATCAAATTAGCCGGCGCGTAAAAGGTAAAAATTGGCAAACAGAACGTGGCAAGGGATTAAAAAGGGCGTTTTTAGTTAAAACATTTGCACACATGTCAAAAAAAAGGGGAGACAAGGGACGCCTAGAAATGGTATGGTTTAATGGGATGCTAAACTGATAATGGAAGCTTTCTGGAAATTCAAACCAATGACAAAGCTGGTGTTGGGGAGACACCACATCTGAAACTGGTGCTGGGAGACACCATGGTGCTGGGAGACACCACATCTGAAACTGGCCTACCACACTAAGAGCCCAACTTGACCCAAAAAGTTAACTAATTAGGTCTTGAGTCCTTCTATGTATATAAACAATTTCACATTCTCATCCACTTTCTATGTGGGACAATACACACATGCACTTTTCTCAACAGATAGGAATATTGGTTGCGTTTTAAATCATAATTGGAAATAAGATGATGTAGAGTGTGAACAACTTGCAGATATGGAAAAATTGACCAGAAAGGATCAGCTAAACCTTGGCTGTTCCAGAAAACCAGTCTATTCAAAACACAACCACAAAAGGCATCTAGCATAGCTTAAACATTACCAACTCTAATTTCACAAATTTCCACCCACTAGGAGAGATCAAAGTTTATGGAATTAATTTGTTGGGGCGTAAAGGGCAAAACGAGACCAGAAGAAACATGCTACTAAGGGCTGAGGAGGGAGTAGAAAACAAGAACATGGTTATTCTTTGAAACCAAAATCCTCAAAACTGCACCAACAAAATTCCTCCCAGATATATTGCAATTTACTAAGTATATACATTCAAACATCTCGTGCCGTTTAAGACAACTAACTTGATGCAATGCAAGTATAATTGGTTGATCAATCAATACCCTGATTAACCGTCTTGGGTGATCAATCAGTCCTTTCATTAGTTATATACTATCATTTTATCATCAAACATTGAATTTCCTTTGTTCATATAGTGTCAATTCAAAATTATATGTTACAGTCCAAGATTCACTCACATTATCAAAACTGCAGAACTCATGTTGCATATGATTGCCAGTGGGGATGAGCTCCAGCCTGATAAAGAGCAAGGTGGTGGATGGCTTTGGGGAACAACTCCCTCAGCTCAGCATTTTGAGCTGCAACCGAACGAGCCCCCTCGAGAGCACTCAAGGCGCGGGCTTGTTCAAGAGCCTTGCTATTGCCAACGTGCAATGCAAGGTAACACAGCAGTTTCATGGCCTGAACTTGGGCCCCGCTATCAGGCTTAAGCAATCTCATCAACGGAGGAACGCCCTCAAATTCAATAATAGCCTTTGAGTGCTCCACGCGGTTGAAATTCTCTGGAGACACAAACTTCGCCAAAGCAGTAGCAGCCTCCGCAGCCACATTAACATTCCTATCGCTGAGACGTGACACCAAGGGACCAACAATTCGCGTCTCCCTCGCAGGAAAAGTCCGAGCCAAGCACCCAATTGACTTAATGGCAGCAATTTGCAATGCCGGACTACTCTCCTCTTGAATGACTCTCAGAAGCTGATCCAAAACAGCCTTTGCAGCTGGAGAATTGGTCTTAAAAGCCGCTCGTCTAAGGTCGGAGCTTGTCTCGGCTGCGGCCGCTATCTCCATCACTGCGATTAAGCAATTATACTGCAAATCCCCTTCCTCCTTCTCTATAATCTTAGCCAAACAAATCATCCCTTTGGTCTCCGTAACTTTTCGACTATTAGTTAAACTATCTTTACAGAGCTTCCACAGAGCCTCAGCACAACCTACTTTAAGATTAAGTTTTATTTCAGGAGTTTCAACCTCTCTATCCTTCCTATAATGGCTGCCGCCACGACTACTCCCATCGGAATGGTGATGAGAAGAGAACGACGAATTCGTCATCAAAGTTGAAGAATTTCCATGAGAATTCAGTGGTTTACCAGCTAATTCCTTATTAATCTGAACAATCGAGTGAATGCTAGTCTTACCACCGGAGTGAAGCTGCGGGTCATGGAGAACCGTGTCTATAGAGAGCAACGACACGAGCGGTCTTATCACGTTCTCTCTGGCGAACTCCTCCTGAGCGTCGGAATCGAGCTCCGCCATTCTCGAGACAAGTTTCACCACCGAGACCTGAACCCTAATCGGCGAGTCATTGAGGACCTGGACGATGATCGGGATCCCTAGGGCTTCGACGACGAATCGGACTCTCTCGAGGTCGGTGGCGACGTTGAAGAGCGCGTTGGCGGCTGCGATTTGGGCATCGGGGGAGGAGCCTTCCTTGAGAAGCTTGAGGAGCGGCATAATTCCGCCCTCGTCGACGATGATCTTCTTGTTCCGGTCGTTGTCGCGGGCGAGGGAGGCGAGCTCGTTGGCGGCGTCCATCCTGGCCTTAATTTGGCCCATCTGGACGGTGGCGATGGAGGACCAGACCCATGACATGATCGGGTCGTTGCTGGCGATCGGAGGGAGGGAGAGGTTGCCGCCGTCGGCGTCGAAAATCGAGAGGAGCCACTTCATGTCGCCGATGGAAGATTCCAGAAGGTTCGAGACCTTGCGGAAGTCGGCAGTGGTGGTGATGGAGAACACCTGGCGGAGGACGCCGCTGTGCTTGCACTTGCGGACGAGAGTAAGAGCACGCTCGAGGTTCTTCATAACGTCGGCGACGATTCGGCGGACGGGACGCTCGTAGACGGAGGGGGCAGCGGAGGCGATCCTGACGGCGGAGCGGAGCATCTGGGAGAGGCGGTCGACCTGTTTCGCGAGCTCGGAGCAGTCCTGCTTGGAGGACTCGGCCTCCTGAGCAGACTTGATGACGCGATCGGCGAGGAGGATCGGAAGCGAGAGCTCCTCTTGGAGAGTCTTCTCCTCGTCAATGGCCGCCATTGTTGTACGGACAGTTTAGTTTTGTTTAATTTTGTACTAAAAGAACCGAGGGATGAAAAATCTAGTACTCAAATTTTGAGAAGAGTTTGACGCTATTTTCTAACCCGGCCCGATCCCTGAAATTTAGGTCAACAATTAAAGTTATGGGAATGTTCTTTTGTCCTTTTTTAGTTAGGTGATTTGAGCCTAAATTTTAAGCTTATTTTTTTGAATAAAAAATTTAAAAAAATATAATTCGAGTTATAATTTTATTTGAGTTTATGTTTTTTTAAGTTTAAATTTGAGTTTAAACTCGAGTTCAAACTCGAGTTTATGACTAAAACTCTTCGGGCCCGTTCACTTCGTTGATTTGAATTTGTAATTCGAGTTGAGATGTGATTTTATGTGATAGCTTTTTACTATAGTAAAAAAGTTAGATGTGACTGTTTCTGAGAGCTTTTTACTGTAGCAAAACTCGAATTCTAAACTCGAATCGACGAGATGATTTTTTTCTATTCTTAAAAATGCTATAAATTTTTCGTTTTAATTCTGATTGAGATGATTTTTTTTTCTATGCGTTGACAATGAAAAGACGAATAAAACCCGACCCATATACCATATTAAAAATTTTCATCAGCATTGAGTTTTTATTAAAATACTATCTAAATACAAATTCAAGTTTTGACTCACTCAAACACAAACGACTCGTTCACTTCGCTGATTCGAGTTTGTAATTCGAGTTGAAATGTGATTTTGTGTAAGAGCTTTTTACTGTAGCAAAAAAGTTAGATGTGACTGTTTCTGAGAGCTTTTTACTGTAGCAAAACTCGAATCGGTGAAATGAACGGGTCTTATCTCAAACCATAACTAAAATGTATACAACCAAACACAAACTCAAGTTATAAGTTCAACTCAAGTTATAACTCAAATTCAACTCAAGAATTATACTCAAGTTAAACTCCAAAAGAACAAGCCCTTGAGTTAAGTTTTAGTTATAATTTGAGTTGAAGTTGTAACTTGAGTTTGTGTTTGGTTGTGTATATTTGAGTTATGGTTTTAAATAAGAATCTTTTTGAATTTGTCTTTGAGTGAGTCAACACTTAAATTTGTATTTAGATAGGGGTTGTTCAGTAGCCATAAAAACTCAAAAAATGCAACTCGAGTTATAATTTTATTCAAGTTTATGTTCTTTTAAGTTTGAACTCGAGTTTGGGACTAAAACTCGAGTTCAAGTTTCCCCTTCAACTCGAGTTCAGAAACTCGAACTCATATTAATGAATAATATTTTTTATATTCTTAAAAATGTTATAATTTTTTTATTTTAATTCTGATTGAGATGATTTTTTTTCTATGCATTGACAACGAAAAGATGAATAAAACCCCACCCATATACCCTATTAAAATTTTTCATCAGTATTGAGTTTTTATTAAAATATTATCTAAATACAAATTCAAGTTTTGACTCACTCAAACACAAACTCAAAAAGATTCTTATCTCAAACCATAACTCAAATGTACACAATTAAACACAAACTCAAGTTATAACTTCAACTGAAGTTATAATTCAAACTCAACTCAAAATCTACACTCAAATATAGGGTCCGTTTAGTTCGTTGATTCGAGTTTTTAATTCGAGTTGAGATGTGATTTTATGTGAGAGCTTTTTACTGTAGAAAAAAAGTTAGATGTGACTGTTTGTGAGAGATTTTTACTGAAGCAAAACTCAAATTCTAAACTCAAATCAGCGAAATAAACAGGGCCTAAAAGAACAACCCATTATAACTCAAGTTACTTTTTTTGAGTTTTTAACTCAAAAACGTTGCTGCTAAACAGCCCCTAGTAACTTAATTTTTTATTTCCCCTTTTGAGCAAATGAATATTTCTTTACTACTATTTTTTTGGCTTCATGACAGTGGACACAAGTGTGCTTCCGATTTATATGTATTTATTATTCTTTTTTTTTTTACAAGTATTCATTTGTTTTTAATCATTATTTTGGTTGCTTTAATTATTATTAGATTTTTTGTTTTAATTATTATTATTAATTTGCTTGTCGCTTATTAATTGATGGGGGCCCGCACAAGCGGTGGAGCATGTGGTTTAATTCGATACAATGCGCAAAACCTTACCAGCCCTTGACATATGAACAAAAAAACCTGTCCTTAACGGGATGGTACTTACTTTCATACAGGTGCTGCATGGCTGTCGTCAGCTCGTGTCGTGAGATGTTTGGTCTAAATAGTTATAGTAACTTTTTTTTTCCTTTTGTGCAAATGAATATTTCTTTCCTACTATTTTTTTGGCTTCATGACAGTGGACACAAGTGTGCTTCCGATTTATATGTATTTATTATTCTTTTTTTTTTACAAGTATTCATTTGTTTTTATTATCATTATTTTTGTTGCTTTAATTATTATTAGATTTTTTGCTTTAATTATTATTATTAATTTGCTTGTCGCTTATTATAATTGTTTTTTTTTTTTTTACATAATCAAGCCTATTTATGATTTTGATATTCAATATCTTTTATTTATGGATATAATAAAGAAAAAGATATTGGATAATTCACGATATCATTTGGACACATTCTATCTAAGGCTATGGTGATCCTGAAGGGAAAAAGAAAAAAAAATGTGAGTAGAGTCTATAGAGTAATATTCAAAAAAAGAAAGAGAGGACTCTTTGCCATCTCATTCTTCCACAATGATTTGAGGTGAATAATGCAAATTTTTTCGGGTGCTAGGCTTACCGTGAAAACTCGTCAAAGAATATGAACTTGTATGGCACTAATTGATCTCACACATAGTGAACAATAAAAGAGTACAAGAAAAGTAAAGAAAAAAATAAACACAAGATATTTATAGTCATCTATTTTCAATGTGAGAGCTACATCTATTCATTGTTTATGATAGAGAAAAGAGTGGACAATATGCTTTAAAATGCAATTCGGATTACATAATTGTGGAATTTGCGTATTTATGCCTTAGGGGACAAATCCGTAGAAGTATTTAGTGTTTTGTACTTATCGTTTAATCATCTAATTATAAAATTTTTTGTAATCAATAATTGTGACATAACGTCATTCAGTGAGATCCACTCATAAATCATAGTGTTAATTTGTCTTTAAGATTTTGTAGTCAATCTATATGCCAGTTAGATGTGTTCTATAATTATGTATTAAAAAAAACTGAGGTGTCATGTGAAAATTTGTGGATTATCCACTTTTTTTTTCCATACCGATGCAATTTGCTTAAACATCTCATTCTCTGCATTGCTTGGTGTTATACAGCATTTCGTCAGTCCATAACCAATCTACAATACCATCACTATCAATTCTAACGTCTATTACCCTCATAAAATACTTCTTAATAGTCAATATTCATGATCTCACAAAGCTTTATCCATTATTAATGGTGATTTAATCCAATTTATATTCCTAGATTTATCGTTGTCACAATAATGTTCGACATTTCATTCTTTCCCCGCGTGAGCAAGAGTGTGTGACCCGCAGCTTTTCAAAGCAAAAACCAATGGCCCAAATTGTCTCTATTTATTCCATTTGACAAATGCTTTTGTGTCCCTTGAATTTCCCAGGCTCAGTACATTGAAAAGAAAGAAAAAGGATCATTTCTACCGAATTGGGGTCGCTCACTAGATTGCATTCATGACCATGATATCAAATTAAGAGGTTGTTTAATTAGGAGATTCGTTTCTTGATTTGAATCATGATTCGTAATTTATTACAGTATTTATTTTCATAAAAAATACACATAAATTAAAAATAATTTTAATCACATAATTTTAATCTATAAATTAAACGTAAATTTCTGACAAGTTAATCCTACATTCCTCTCGTCTATGTCAATTAATCAGCATCTGAATCCCAAAAACACCGAAGTAAATTCAAAATCAACGTGACACGTTGCTAATGGATAGCAACCCCCATTGACCAGTCTTCTTGCCCTTAGGCATCCAATCACAATAAGTTGAGTGAGACATGTTCTAGAGAAACAGAGAGACTTCAAAAGGCTCCAACAAAGATATCACAAGGAAAGTAGACAAGAAGACGTATTCTAAACACCAAAGTAGGGAGTGTATTGAAGTGTTAATTCCACAAATACTCCTTAATCTTACTTTGATTTTTAATTTTTAAAAGGTCTTAAATTTGATGTATTATCTATCAATTTATTTTAGTTTTAATCCTTTTACTCAGTTGGGAGTTTTAAAAAAAAAAAAAAAAAAAGAGACAATATACGAGTGATAGAACACGAACTGTGTGTGATTTTAACGTAAAAATGTAAAATAACACAATATTAACCGAATATCATTCATATTTTGTCATGCTTTAACACCCAGTTGGTGAAAGACTACAATTAAAAAAAAATGATAAATTGGGGTTTAAATTTAGAGTGTTTTAAAAGCAAGAGATTGAAGCGGGCGTAATAGCAAAATTTAGAGACCCTTTTTAGGATTAATCCTAAATAAAATTATAAGGTGAGTCGTGACAACTTAAGCTTTTGGCCGTTGAAGCCTGAAGGGTTGTCATCGTCCATCATACAGCCACGATTGAAAGAGAACATGAGAGGACATAATCCACCCAAACTCCACATGTTCATGGGGTTGGTAATAGTGGCATTCAAAAGAAATTTGAGGCAAAAAAAACAAAGGGTTGCTGTGATGGGGTATGTTGAAATTACGCACACAAATGTCCTTGAAAGTGCAAGGCGTACAAACCCATAAAAGGAATGGCTACTCGAAGCATGATCAAAGAAGGAATGGAAACTGGCTTATGCTAGATGTGGTAATCTCTGAGTGAAAGATGTGCGGAAAAGAATGTATTTACCAGGTCATGTTTCCACTAAATTTAAGTGCGAGTAAAAGGTTCCATCAATCTCTCTAGAAGATTCCCCATCCTTTTTAACTTTTTTTTTATTAAAAAAAAAGAAAGAAAAAGAAAAGAAAAGAAAGATACAATCACATCCGTCAATAATTGATTCAGAGTTCAGACATATCAACTATCGCCAATCCAAGTTCAATGCAAACCCAATTCACAGTGGCGTTGTATTCTATTTATGCATAAAAGCTCAACAAACTTTAGTTGGTCTACAAACAGAAAACCCACAAAGCTTCAAAGATGCGTGAATAGATTAAATTTCTACATAGAGGAAAGATTCAAGATGATAAGCAACGATGATAGGTAAACTACTTTAAGCACAATAGTTCTTCAGAGTTTTGACAGCATCCCATTCTGAATCGGCTTGGCTACCCCGGCATCTTTGACGTCGCTGTCTTTGGCATCCAACTCGCACGCATTGGGCGGGACATCAACCGCAGGAGAACAGTTGAAGAACCCATGAGGCTGCACAGAAATAGCACGTAACAGGATCAGAGATCAGGGAAGAAAAAAAAAAGGGGGTGGGGGGCCCTAAAAATGAGCATTATCTGGGACACTAGCTAGCTTTATGCGTCAACTTCATATTCTGTATAATATGAGATTTTGACCAACCCTTCTACGAGGTAATAGAATCATGGTCATGCACGTGCAAGCAAAAAGGATCAAAACTTGAGGAGAGTGCTGATGAAAGATGTATTAAATTGACGAGGGAATACCGTAAGCATAAAGCCAATGCGCTCCACTGGCATGACAGGCCAGTCCTCCAGCCGAGGAACATGGGTTATTCCAAATACGTACCTGCAAATTAAAACAGTGACTTGTAAGCAACCAGAGAAGATAAAGAAAATTGATTTTGCTTTCATCTGAAGAAAGACTGACATATGATTATACAAGCAGCAGGTTAGACAGGAAGGGAGGAGATACCAACCAAAGAACTATATCAGTTTCCTCCAAAGGTCGATTTTGCTGAACCCAAGTGGCCAATCCTTCACCAACACGCGGATTTTGATTAGGGAATTCTCCTCCGGGAAACATCTCATCACGTGCATATGGTGTAACCCAAAGATTATGCTTCAAAAAAGCAGCTCTTCTCAAAAACTTGGCCTCAGGACCAGCCAATGGCAAACAGTTTGAACCGGGTACTAGCTTGTAGCCTGTTAAATGCCCAGTCCTATTAACAGTTCTCGTGTTCCTTATCTGACATATAAGATGGCATACTTGTCAATCAAATAATCAAAGCTCGAGGAGCACTAAAATATCAGTAAAATTCGGAGCCAGAAATGGCCGGAAGGCTGAACAGAAACAGGATTAAGAGTTGCAATAACAATCAACAAAACTGAAAAAGGATGCCTTACGATCCAATGGCGAGCAGTCAAAGGGTTACAGTCACGCATTGCTTGCAATTCAGATCTAAGAAGTGTCTCCTCAGCATAGAATGCGTTATTATGAATATTGTTTTCCCCAGGTTCCTCAACTTTTAAATCCACCTCTACGACCTGTAAAAGTGTTTTGAGAAGGGGGAAAAATGAGAACTAGACAACGGTGTAAAAGCATTTTGGTTGTATCAACACGAAGATTTGTAATATAAATTATTAAACTGTATTAGAGCCTAAACTGAGCTGATACCAAACGCATGGAGTTAAAAAACTACAAGAACCAACAATTTGATACTAAACTGCCGTACTTTTCCCTTTTGAAGGATTCTTAAGAGACCTGAGGAGTTGTCTCCCATTGTACCCCATTCAGTAGCCTTCTAGTGAAAAAAGAGCAGACTCTTCATGGAAGATTTGCTGTTTCTGTGGGACAGACCTTGTGTTTCTATATGCTATAGCCAGCTTTGGAGGATGTTGTAAATTCATAGCAGTTTACCTGATTGTAAGTTTCACCAGGTTTGCAGTCAACAGCCATATCCATACGAGCAACAAAGAAGTGCTGATGAACTGGCGCATATAATCCCGGTGCAATCATAGTACCATATTTTCGAAATTCTCCAGGCTGCAACGCTCCTAAGCTGAGTATTCCTGTAAGTTTAACTTCTGCTTCAATTTTTCCATCCTGTAATACAATATAATTTACACGTCAATTTAAAACTGATTTCACAGCTTACCAATCCAAGATTAAAGTAAAAATGCAGGTAGAGGTAGAGTAGCCCATAGAATGGAACGTAAATGAAACCGGTAGGACAGAAACCTCAAATGAAAAGTTCTTAACGCTGGAGCTGTAGATTTGTAAATTTCAAAAACACTTTACACTATCCTAAATCATGCAGAACCTTTATACTAATTTTATTTCATTTAGATCCTAGCAGATTCTTTCAACGTCAGAAGTGATGGAGCACACACAAAGTACACCATGTATACAGATTATAATTGAGGTATTCAACTTGCCTGATAAAAGTGCCAGAAGAATCCATACTCGTAATTAGCCACAGTACATACAAAAGACACTGTTAAACGCCTAGACCTTCGAACTTCTGCTAAACCTGTTCTCCAATCTTGATGCTTCCACAAAATTCCATGATCCTCTTCGTGCAAACATACGCAATTTTCAATTGTTTCAACGCTTCCAGTAAAATTAGTAAAATGGGCATGAAAGTATTTGATGTAGCCCAAACAATCACATCCCTATAATGGTAATCTCACTTCAGTCCAATTTGTATAAAAAAGAGAAAAAGCAAGATGCAAAGTTTTAATAAACAAGATAAGCACTTAGGGCCCGTTTAGTTCGTTGATTCGAGTTTTAAATTTGAGTTGAGATGTGATTTTATGTGAGAGCTTTTTTACTGTAACAAAAAAGTTAGATGTGACTGTTTCTGAAAGTTTTTTACTGTAGCAAAACTCGATTCGGTAAAGTGAACGGGCCTTTAGTGGATAGTAGTCCCCAAACCTTCTTAAGAGAATGAGCATTTTTGCCGAGGCCATCTTCCCCTGCATCGAAAGCATTTTTTCTGTAATGTGGATCATTTGGATCTCCATAAGGAACAACCATTTCCACAAAACTCAATCTATGGGCTACAGGCCTTCTCCCCCTGTTACCATCAACGTAGGCAACAGAGTATATAACCAAACCCTCCCTGGTAGTGAACCCAATCCTGAAATTCCACTGCCAACAAGCAAATAGAATGAGACCACCTGAATTCAGTAAAAAGAATAGATTCATATGCCAATTTAAATATTCACCTTCTGCCACTCAACAAAGTAACCATTAACACGAAAGCTTGGACCTTCAGGCTGAACAATTCTTAAAGGCTTCACATCACTTCGATCTACACCACCTCTTGTTTCTCCCGGAGTATAATTCCTCAGCGGATCAGCAGGAGGTAAGGGGACCAGCTTGCGGTCTTCAAACTCTATCACCACCATGTTTTGCATATCAACTAGTACATGGATGCCCTCAACTGGCCGTGCATAACCATTTTCCATTGGGCAATCACTCTCAGTTCTACAGAAAATCAATGGTTTAGCAAGTCTTCGGCTGGGAGAGTCGGCCTCACTGTGATAACCAACACACCTGAAGCATATACATGAGAACATCAGATGAGCATCTCGCCAAAACAGGACCACCAATAAGGTAGCAATTTAACCTACCACGGATCAACCATCACAAGATCCATATCCTCAATGCCTCTCTTTTTCATAGCCTCTATAAATGGAGGGAAATCCTTCACAACAGCTTCACACTCAGCATATTCCACCGCATCCTGGGGTCGCACGAGAAACATCAGAAGAAAAACATGAATTATGCAACTATAAATTGTTTAGCATGTATTTTTAGTCTTCTAGCAAAATAGCTAGGAAAGCAGCTTGTGTGCATCACATTTTTGTAAACCTTTTTTTTTTTTTTCAAGAGAACGAACCAACTATACTCAAAGAAGCCAAACATCAGGAAAAAACGGCATACCATGGGAGGCTGCACGTCTGGAACAACTTTTGTGGAAATTACTTGTCCACGATGGTGCCCACCTCGAGTTAGTGCATGAACTTCTGATAGCTTAACAATCCATAAGCTTGTCTCATTGGACTTTTTGTTGTAAACAACAAGTCTAGCTTGCCTTGGAGGTAGCTTGCTGGGAATTTTAGGTGCACCTTTGGTTCTAGGAAGTAACGATGGCTGGAAAGGGGGAAAGAAATATGCATCTGCCAGTGCAACAACTTGTTTATCTGGTTCCACCAAAACCACTTCAATAAAACGCATACCATCTCGGACCTGGAAAAGAAAAGGTATTATTTAACATACCATCCTATCCACAAATGCATAAACCCCTAAGAGGAAAACAATTTCAAGCAACAAGTTTTTGTGTTATCTACAACCTCGGGTGTGGCACCAGCTGCCCTGACTGTTGCCACTGCCACAGATATCTCAGCAGCAGATAGAGGATCTAAAGGATGGCTTGATTGAGCTCTTGGCATGATTGAGATCCCTGCAGCAACCAATTGAACAGACTGGGTCAACCAAGTGAAAGAAGAATCACTAATGCATTAGTATCCATATGTCAACTTTATGCTAGAACTGATAACTTCTATAGTTCAGTTACTGCTTAAAAATAATAATAATAATAAATACAGCCCACACACACACATGCCAGAACAAACGAGTGGAGTATCACAAGTCGTTCATATACATGTCCAAAATGTATAAGTCAATCTTTTTTATATACAGAAATAATTTGTTTTAACAATATACAAGTGTGGAAAAGACACCAGCATTCAAGAATCTGACGATCACGACTACAAGTTTTGAAAGAGAAAGCCGATTCACCTTAATCTTTAAATAGGATCGCATAGCAAACTATTTGTAGTAGCCTCTTCTTCTTTTTTCTAATACTTTCTTTTCAATATTCATATCCGTAAAAAAACAGGACAATCTAAAGACATCATTTTCAAAAGATCTTCGCCACAAATAAAGAAATTAAAGAACATCTAAGAAAAAAAATATTAAAAAGGTCGACAATCATACAGAACAAACGACGATAAAATTTAAAGAGTAAAAGAAAACATATTCGGAAAAGATCAATCGGTACTCAAGAAAACAAAATTTCTAAATTTCAGAAATGAAAGATAAATAAATAGAGACGTCTATGAGAAAAATGCACAATAATCACCAGCAAAAAGGAAAAGAAGAATGAACCTTTGGTAGAAACAGTGGTGGAAGGTTCGGGAATCAACGACGCGGCCATGGCGATCTTCTTGGCCCGCTGATCATCGCGGACGTCGGAGGAGGCGACGCTCCAGTCCTGTACGGCATTGGCCGAAACGACGCCGTCGGACGGTGCGGCGGCGACGGCGGCGCGGGCAACGGCATCGGAAGGGAAGCAACACGCCGCCTTAGGAGGAAGAAGCGTCGCTTTTTGCGGAGCTGAGGCCATTGCAAGGGGTTCGCGAGCTCGCCGATTCCACCGAAACAGCTCTCTATGCAATCTACTGACATACAGCAACAATCTCTCACCTGCCGATTCCGCGTGGTGCTCTCCTCCACCGCGCCACCGCAAGAACAAGAAACCGCAGAAGAAAAACTCCGACAAAGCTCACCAAACACAGAGAAAATCCCAAACTTTTCCGAGAAAACGAAAAATTGGTTTTGAAAATGTGGAGAGTGTTTGGCTCTGAAACTCGAGAAAATGGAAAATCTTTCGAAGAAGTCAAGAGGGAAGAGTGAATTAAGGCACGGAGTGTGAAAGAAAAAAAGAGAGAGACGGGTTATATCGAGGGAGATACCACGTGCATTGCTCTTACTCGAGCTATTTTTTATTATTATCAAATCCAATTTTGATATTTTTTTATTTTGGTATATTTGTGAAACAGTGACTTATCAAGGGACCAGTAAGATAAGTAAGCGTTGAGTTGATAGGGGCGATCTGTTATTCTGCTTTTGCTAATGTCCAAATATTTAGCTCCAATCTGCTTTTGATATTTACCATGATAAGGCCTGATCGTACCTTAACATTTTCTTATAAGGACCTGCTATTTTCAATTTTATCAAAATGGTCCTTTCTTTCTGAAATATTTGTACGTTTGCCATGGATTTCTCTTTTTTTCTTATTCTCTTTTCTTTTAAGATTTCTAGGCCTGTTTATTTCACTAACTCGAGTTTAAAATTTAAGTTTTGTTACAGTAAAAAAATTTTTAAAAATAGTCACATTTAATTTTATTATTATAGTAAAAAATTCTCACATAAAGTCACATCTCAATTCAAATTAAAATTTTAAATCAACGAACTAAATGAGTGTTTATATTCCATATTTATTTATTTATTTTAAAAAGAATGTGCACTTGACCAAATCTAGCTGCTGCCCATGGAAAAGTAAATGCACATCGGTGGTGTTTTTTTTTTTTTTCTCTTTTACTAGACAAGACCTTCAATGGAATTTTGATTTGACAAATATCAAGTAATAAAAAATTGACTACTTGTATAGTATGGCAATTTTATATGTTCCTCCAACGTGATCCAATTTTTGGTTCGAAATAAATAAATAAATAATTATGCTTATCCTAATTATATTTAACTATTTTGCGCTCGCGAATCTCTATGTTCCTAAAGGGACATATATCCAACTTTGCAGCAATTAGATGTGGAATACAACATAATCTGAGTCATCTTATGATAAAAATATTCTCACATAAAATGCCCAAATATACATTATACGGTACTTTATTCTTCATTTCTTCTCGGGATTGTTCGCAAGGAATTTCTTTTTCTGCTTGTTTTTTTCTGTCGTTCAATTTTCTAAGGAAGGAAATTTCGCTTTCATTATTGAGTAATATATTGTTTTAATTCCATATGCATATATTTGGGGACATTGAGATGGATTGGATCTGATGAATTATGGCATTGGCATCTACCAATCTAAGATGTAATTGTTACTATTTACCGATTAGGGAAATTGTAGTGAATAGTATATTTTTGAAATTAAATTAAATAAATAGTATATTTTAAAACTATAATAAGTAAATAATATTTTATCATGTAAATGATTCATTTATGATTGGTAAAAAATAATTTACGCGGTAAAAATTTTTATTTACGTGAAAAAAATCTTTTTACTAGTCATAAAAGGAGAATTTACATTAAACAAAAATTTTGTCTAGTCGTAAATGAAACATTACACGATAAACTGTTATTTACTTCAAATAGTTTAGAATATGTTATTTACTTTAATTATTTTCTATAAATCCGCTATTTGCTCTATTCTCCCATTGTTTGTCTTTGTCTTTAATAATGGTAGAATAGTCTTTTTATTTATTTTGTAAGTTTGGGTTTTTAACACATGTGCTTGATGAGTGAGTTTTACTCGCTCATTTAGTATCGTTTTACACTTAATATCTAGTTGGTTTTCAAGGTTTTTGTTAGTTTTTATGTGTGTTTTTGTTCTTTGTTTGAAGGTTAGGTGAAAGTCTATGATTTGGAAGGTTTTGGACAAATTTCGCTGAAATCTGATGGAATTAGTGCATTGGGACAGAATGGGCAGCGCTTAGGCGCCCATTACAGCGCCGCAGCGCCCAGGGTTTTGCACAACAGTGCCGCAGCGCTAGAAACTCAATGCCGCGGCGCTACGACGCGAGAAAAGACGTGTTTTGAAGGCCAATCGCGAGAAAACTTATCCGTTTTGACCCTAATACTCCGAAACATATAAATATATGATTCTAGGGCAATTAGAAGGGACTTTTGAGACTATGGAATGACGGCTGGCTTTTGAGAGAGTATTCAAGAGAAGAAAAGGAGAATTGGGACGGAGAAGAAGAACGGCTCAAATCCGGAGACGGAGACGCTTCAATTCAACTCTAAACTAGTTCTTTTCTTTCCTTTCCAATGATTAAGACTTTGTTTAGGAATTTATTTTGTTTAGAGATGAACTAATTCCTTTTTCTAGGGCTACGATGTAGCCGGATTATGAATGTTCAAATTCTCAATCTTATTTTTAAGTAATTGATGTTTAATCCATATATGCTGAGTATTTCAATTTATTCTTAATGCTTGTGATTGTTTGGCCAACTATTACATGATTTTATATTTAATTTGAGACCGAGAGGTGATAATTAACTAAGCTCTTAATTGAAATACCATGAGTTTGTTCATAGGATAGAGATATATATGATGCTTGTGCAGTTCTTTTGAATTTCTTGCACTTAATGATTTTCAACAGGTTTAAAAGTCTAACAAAGATGTAGATTTTACTTGTTGGATTAATATTATTATTGCTTGAGAAAGAATAATAATTATTTTAAAGAAATTACTGTCAGTATAGGATTTAATGTTAATTTTCTTAAATTATGGAAATTTAAACATGATTAATTTGGTGAAATCGGAAACCCTAGAATCTTAATCTATTGAATTTTCATCTATTGCTAGCATTGTTTAATTTATTTAATTGTTTTAGTTTTGGTTTACTTAATTTTATAAACCCTATTTTCAAGTATTCAGATAAAATTAGGATTAATATAATTTCAGTAATTAGTAAACAACAATCCTCGTGGGACGATATTCTTGTTTACTATTATATTACTTGATTGCAATAGTGTATACTTACGTTACGAATTTTTCATAATAGTGCCTCCTGAACTTATCAAACCGTCGTAACCCACTCGATGGGTTTTGCCACCACCACCGGTTACGAACATTGAGCTCATGGCCCACACAACAGGTCTCACAAATGGTGGGTAAGAATGTCGGCTACGAATAGTGGGTTCACAACCCGCGTGATGGATCTCGTGAACAGTGGGCAAGAACGCCGACTATGAACATTTAGGGAAAAGTTTGTGTCATTTGTGTAATTGGCTTAAGTTTTAGTTTATAAACTCAATTTCATGTGCATTTGTTGAAAATTTTTGAGTGTAGCAATGATTTAGTTTGGATAGTTTTTTTTTTTTTTTACAATAGTTTGAATATTAGTTTGATATTTATTTAAAATTGATATGATTTTCGTAGTGTTGAAATAAGTTTAATTTTGGAATTATTTTGATATTTGCTTAAAATATGGGCGAGAAAATGTATTTTGATAAAATATAATGGTTATTTTTGTAATTACTAGTATTGTATTTAGGCTTTAATTCGGTGCGTGAGAGAACTCGTACACTCTTATTGAGATTTAATATGAACCGTTAGATCGCACCTCGTCGTAGGGGAACATATATCTATCATGATCGCAGTCTAGCTAAACCCTATTCCAAAAAAGAATTTTGTATTGGATAAGAAACAAATCGCTCACGAAGGAAAAAAAAAAAAAAAGGCTAATAATATTATACGTACTAAGACAGCAATATTCTAATTTAGCTCTAATCATATCTTTCTTTTATTAAGTCTTGTTGCTATATAATTTAGGGGGGGAAAAAAAAAAAAAAAAAAAGGTCCTGTTGCTATTAAGACATTATTTCATCTCACAACTCACTCTCTTTCAACTATATATAGTTTATATATGTATTATTCTCTTTCGAAAAGTTATGGTATGACACACATTGTTTTGCTTTATCGGTAGAATAGTTTTTATTGGCCATCTAACTAAATTTCAATCAAACAAACTTAATTACACTAGTCCTCGAATAAAATAACTTATTTTACCACAAAAATGCTCATATTTTTTTTCACGTAACATGTAATATTCAGATCCTTCAAACAAACCCTGTGGTAAAATCATAAGGGCAACTCATGAGTCAAAATATCAATGTTTAGATGACATATATGAAAGGACGTTATAACTTTCTTAGATTGCACTCTAGTTAAGAACTCTCCTTAATCCATTCACTAACTCGTGTTAGTGTCATTGATGATGACTTTGTTTTGGTCCAATCAATATCAGCTTATTTGGGAGTCACTGGTTGTAGTAGTGGTGTGATGGTGATTAGATGCCCACTTCACCATAGTGTTTGTTTTTAATTAAATCTGACTCATTTTCACCTACCTCCACAAACCCAAAAAGCCATTACAATTACATAAGTCAAATAACTAAATTTTATTATTATGTAATTGAAACTACCTTGTTTTTTTTTTTTCCCTTTCTTTTTCCTCTTTATTTCGTTCTTCCCACTTTGTTATGCGTTTATTCTTCATCCTGTTAAAATATTAAACTATTGTTAGCCCACATCTTAATAGCTTAAACTTTTAAGATGGATTGATAAACTAAATGTTAGTTTATCAATCCATCTTAAAAGTTTAAGCTATTAAGAGGTGGGCTAACAATAGTTTAATACTTTAACACTCCCCCTCACGTGTGGGCTGGACAATGGACAATCGTGTGAATAAATTAATTAAAAAGCCCAACACGTGAATATTTAAGCCCGAGATATATTACGAGGGTTTAAACTCGGGAACTCTCACTCTGATACCATGTTAGTTTACCAATACATCCCTCTTTTGATTATGTTTGTAAAGGAACAAAATTCCTCTTTCTCTTCATGGCCACTATTAGTACTTGAACTTAGTCAAAGAGAAGCAAGAACATAAGAAGAGAAAGGAAAATCAGGAACTGTTAAAAAAAATATTTAGAGCACTAACGGTGTTAAACACCAAATTAATAAAGAATGAGTCTTATTTATAGACTCTTATACTGTGGAGTCTATATTGAATTAGTAGATAGTCATCAGTAAAATTGGTACCTTATAATTTTGTTCTCTCGTAATGTTACACATTTATCTTCACTAATATTTAAAAGAGCTCAGAAGAAAAGAAAAATGAAGCACTTAATTATCTTTATCTAATCCCACAATTTCTCACTTGATTCCATAAAATCCCAATATCACTCATGATGTTTGAAATCAAATTTATAGGTCAAGTATTTTTATTTTTTAATTTTTTTTAATCATTGATTTTAAAAAGATAATTTTCCATTCTAGATAATTAAGGACGATATTAGTCTTACAATGAAATATATATAGAGGAAAAAAAAAAACACCATGATTATATCCAAACTGTTCCTATCATAAATCACAATATAGTATTTTTTTTTTCCACTTAGATTGTTGGATAGTGTTTTAATGCGACTTATACAACTGGATTTGACGTTGATTCTACATTATAATATATCTATCAACACCCAAATGTGAATTTGGATATGTTCCAACTTCCAAATGAAGAGAAGAAGGACCTTATATAAATATATATATATATATACATAGTATATAAAATGGACATTTTATATTTATTGAATCCGCATGCTGTCCACGAATGCATAAATTCACACAACTCATAGAACTCCGCTATTATTAGTCATGGATCATACCGTATTTAGAGATGAGAAGCATCAAAGATCACCGTCACTTTCACTAGGAAGATTTTTGTCTAATTTAAAAATAAAATAAAAAAACAGCACATACATATAATATCTACACATATGTAAGTGTATATATACATATTATATAGGATATAAGGGAATTATAATTTTGTTTTAATGACTGTAGAAGTGCATAATAGATTATAATAATGGACAGAAACCACATCAAGGAAAAGAGGGAAAAAAAAAAAAAGTAGAATAAACATCACTAAGGAGACAAAAGTCCTCCAGAGTTGGAAAAGTCTTTAATAGTCCCTAGAAAAGACCAGTTTTGAAGGAATATGATAAAGGAGTCGCCAGCTGCAACCCAGCACTAACCTTACGTAGCAATATGGTTGAATATTTATATTCTTATATATATATATATATAGAAAAGGACAAAACATTGACCATTATTGATTTCTTAATTCAAAAAATTAGCAACCATCGATAACATACTTGTGTTAGCTTAAATAATAATAATAATAACGATAACATACTTTTTGTGTTTTAGGTGGCAGTAAATTAATTAGACCGATTCCATCTTAAATTGTAGAGTTTAAATTCCACAGGATCACACTTATGTTCATATAACAATAGTATTAACATACTTATGGTTAATAATAACGATAACATACTTTTTGTGTTTTAGGTGGCAGTAAATTAATAAGACCGATTCCATCTTAAATTGTAGAGTTTAAATTCCACAGGATCACACTTATGTTCATATAACAATAGTATTAACATACTTATCGTTTAATTCGTTGATTTGAGTTTTTAATTCGAGTTAAAATATAATTTTATGTGAGAACTTTTTATTGTAGTAGAAAAGTTAGATGTGACTGTTTCTGAGAGTTTTTTACTATAATTATAAAGTTAGATGTGACCGTTTCTGAGAGCTTTTTACTGTAGCAAAACTCGAATCGGTGAAATGAACGGGATCATATTTTTGTTGGCTAATAATTAACTATTAATAATAAGTTTAGTCAAATATTCAATCAAATGATATTGAGTATGTTTTTCATCTCTTCTCGAAAAACAAATGGGCTATTTTTTTTCTTAGCAGAGGGTAAGCAAGTTTATTTGGGTGTTTTGTCTGGGAAGAGCTTGGAATTTTGCTAATAATAAGAATAGTAAATCTTAAACATTCTTTAGCCTGGTGTCTTATTAACTAGTTAAAATTTTCGTTTGATCCCTTTTTCTTTCTGTTTAAGAAATCAACATTGGAAGTTCATTTTCTTTGGAAGTTCACAATTTCATCTCCAATGAACTTTTAAGAAATCAATCTTAATACCTAGCAAATGTCTTGATATGTAAAAAAAGATTGTTGCTGCAGTTTTTTAAAGAGATTAAGGACCATTTTCTATTAAATTTACTACACGAAAGAATAATATCAACTTTTATAAAATAAACTTATGGCATTTTTTAGTATGAGACCCTAAAAAAATCTCCACCGGTGGAACCTCCACTTTTAACTGTTGAATTAATTTTCACCGGTCAGATTTGCAGCATGAGCAGTTCTTTATGGCACACTATAAATTTTTAATACGAGCCTACACAAATCTGATTGTTGAAAAATTACTACAACAGTTAAAAATAGAGATTCTGCCGGTAGGTTTTTTAAGAGGTTCCACCGTAAAAATTGCTTAAATTTATGAGAATGGACAACTAAAAATAAATAGAAATTCGCATTCTAAGTAGATTAAGACCCGAAAAACTACCCACCACACAATAAATTCATCACTTGAAAAGTATAATATCGATTATAGAGGATATACCAGTAATAATATAATATATCAAGAACTAACAGGGATTTTGTTCTAAAATATTTCATTCTGACAACAATGTTCAAAGGAACTAATCATATTAAACCACTTTAGCTAACACACGCAGATATTCATCATAAGAAGTAGATCTCATTAAAAGAAAACTTAGGTCCCATTATTTTCGCTGATTCAAGTTTAGAATTCGAATTTTGCTATAGTAAAAAGCTCTCAGAAATAGTTATATCTAACTTTTTTACTACAGTAAAAAACTCTTACACAACATTACATCTTAACTCAAATTAAAAACTCGAATTAGCAAATCGAACGGGCTCTTAAGCTTAATTAATATCTATCTGATCACTTTTTATTTGTTTGTTTGTTTGTTTATTTTAATCAAATTGAGCCAGGTTCATTTCCTGAAACTCCACAGTAGCTTGATTTACTTTTGAAAATTTTCAGGTGGATTATTGGATTCATCGAACGTACACTCCTCATGCATTTTAATTTATCCTTCATGATCTGCAATATCTGATTATTCATCAACTTATATCAACTCGTTATTCATTCCAATTGTACGTAATTACTTATTGTCCATTTCCTAAAGAAAAAGAAAAAGAAAACAAAATTAGAGAATTGTCCGTATATTCCATAACATGATAAACGTTAAAAATAAAGAGATAAAATTATTTCGATGCTCTTTGTGGTAACGAAACATCTCATTGGTTCTATATTTTTTTTAATATTTTAAAACTGATTTTTAAGACGTAAAAATCAATTCTACTCTTCTTATTAATTAACAATATACTAGTACTTTTTAAAAAATTTCTAAAAATACGTAAATAAATTAAAATATTTTTAAGAAATATTTTTAAACTTATTAGTTTCTATTTGATTAATGAAAAGGACAGTTTGAATATTGCAAGTTTCAAAAATCTATTTAAGGATAAAAAATGTTTCTTTAAATGTGAAGATACGGGGTACCATTTTAATATTAGACTTTTTCTATGGTGAGTCTCCCTAAAAAAATTTACCGGTGGAACATCATGTTTTGGCTGTTGGATTACTTTTTCAATGGTTAAATTTGTAGACGGAACAATTCTGTGTGGGTCGTTGTAAATTTTTGATACGGACCTACACAAATCTACCTATTGAAAACTTAATCTAACGATTAAAACAAGATGTTTCACTGATAAATTTTTTAAAATTCTCACTGCAAAGACTCCCTTAATATTATTAAAAATATAAATTATTTCGTTATAATATAAGATATTAAAATACTTTTATCCAAAAATAAATATAATAATACTGTAATAGACGACCTCTAAGGTTGTGATGAGAAGTATCATGGAGTACAGAAAGTGTGGTCATTCACCTTGGCCAAAATCCAAAAGCAAAGTGGTAGGCCAAGTTTGCTTTTGCTTGGTCCATGACAGATCGAAATCTACAATAATTTGCCACTGAATAAGTACAAAATAGCATGAAATGTGATATTGGGGACAAAAACGACAAAGTTACTTTTGTGGGTTTAAATTATTTGCTTTAGTTTAAACCATATAGAGACCTTAGTGACCCTTTGTTTTTTCGCTTTGACTAGAGTGAGTCTAATTATAAAGATAAATTATGAGAAAGAATGAAAGATACGTTTATATTTTTATAAAAGAGTAATTAACGCAAATGATCCTAATTCTTAATCGTTTAGGGTTTGTTCGGTTGTATTTTTGAGTTATGATGATTTGAGTGTAGATCTTGTGTTAAATTTGAGTTAAAATTGTAACTTGAGTTTGTATTTAGATGTGCACATTATATTACGAGTTATTTTGAGAATGAATAATCTGATTCTCTTGAACTAATTAAAATAAGTACACAACTCTGCTTTTATAGAAGGCAGAGTCCAAAAAGCTTGTTACACAGTTTTAAGCTAGAAAACTAACAAAACTAACCATCTAACATAATACTACAACTTGACATGTATTTACAAGTATTTAGACTTAAAACTCCCCCTCAAGATGGACAGTGAATATTTTTCACAGCCATCTTGGAGAGATGAGACTGTAAAGGAGCAGACGACAAGGGTTTGGTGAAGATATCATCAAGCTGAAGATGTGAGCGAACCGGCATGAGCTTAAGAATACCATAAGCGACCTTATCACGAACGAAATGGCAATCAATTTCAATATGTTTGGTGCGTTCATGGAAGGTGGGATTAGAGGCAATGTGCATGGCAGCTTGATTGTCACAAAAATATAGCATAGGAGAAGGGACAGCAATGCAGAAATCCCGCAAAAGCTGCTGTAACCACACCAGTTCACTTGTTGTGGCAGCCATGGCACGATATTCTGCTTCGGCCGAAGATCGAGAAATTGTAGTCTACCGTTTTACTTTCCAAGAGACCAAGGAATCACCTAAGAACACACAATAGCCTATAACAGATCTCTGTGAATCAGGGCAAGAACCCCAGTCGGCATCAGAAAAAGCCCTGAGTTGCAATGCTGAAGACGAGGAGAAAAATAGACCTTGTCTAGGCGAAGACTTGAGATAGCGAAGAAGATAATGGGCTGCGCGAAGATGAGATGACCTTGGCTGAGCAAGAAACTGACTCAACTTATGAACAGCAAAGGTAATGTCAGGCCTTGAAAGAGTGAGGTACAACAAACGTCCAATAAGACGACGATATTGAGAAGCATCGGACAACACATCACCGGAAGTAGCTAACAAATGTACCTGAGGATCCATTGGAACCGGAGCTGGTTTACAAGCAAGAAAACCAGTGTCCTCTAGGAGTTGTAGCGTATATTGTCGTTGAGATAGAACAATCCCATAAGTAGACCGAGCAATTTCAAGCCCCAGAAAATATTTTAAAGACCCCAAATCCTTGAGTTTGAAGTGACTATGAAGAAATTGCTTCAAAGAGTCCATGATCTTAGTGGAAGGACCTGTAAGGATGATGTCATCTACATACACAAGTAGGGTAATAAAAGTGGATCCAGAGCCTTTAGTAAACAATGAATAATCTGCTTTGGATTGTGTAAAGCCAAACTGGAGAAGAACATGAGAAAATTTCGAGTACCATGACGGGAGGCTTGTTTAAGACCATAAATGGACTTATGAAGCTTACAAACTAACTTCCCAGTCGAAGAAATAGGCTCCCCCTTACTGTGATAGCACAAAGGAAGATCCATATAGACCTCTTCAAAAAGATCTCCATTAAGAAATGCATTGTTAACATCTAATTAGACTAAATCCCACTTCTGGCTTGCGGCAAGAGCTAATAAGACCTTGAAAGTAACCAACTTGGCCACTGGAGATAAGGTCTCAACGAAATCAACCCTTTCTTGTTGTGTGTACCCTTTTGCTACTAAACGAGCCTTATGCCTATCCAATGTACCATCCGACTTATACTTAATTTTGTAAATCCACCGACAACCTATTGAATGTTTTCCTGAGGGCAAAGGGATAAAAAACCAGGTATTATTGTATTCCATAGCATCTAGTTCAGCTTGCATGGCCTCACGCCATTGAGGAAACTTAACCGCTTGATGAAAAAACTGAGGTTCATATTGAGCAGAAACATTCAAAATAAAGTGCCAGTATGCAGGGGATAAATGATCATAGGACAAATAATGAGTCAAAGGATACACAACCTTAGAGGAAGGAGGAAAATCACCTGTGGCAGAAACAAGTTGGGCGGAATTGCAATGGAAATCATAGAGATATGATGGTGGCTTAACCAGTCTAGTAGAACGTCTAGGAGGAGCAGAGAGCGTACTAGAGGACTGGGAAGCCTGAGAAACAGTAGCAGGAAGTGCTGAACCGGTTGACCCAGGTGGGTGCTGGACCTCGGGAACTTCAAGAGGAAAGCTGGGCAAGACCAAATCAAGAAAAGGATCCACCAAGTCACCCTGAGTATGAACAGAATGAAAAGGAAATATATCCTCATGAAAAATAACATCTCGAGAAATAAAAACTTGTTTAGCCTGTATGTTATAGAGTTTGTAGGCTTTCATTCCAGGAAGGTAACCAAGAAACACACAAACTCATGCTCGAGGCTGAAATTTGGTGCGTTTGGCAGACAAGGTGGATGCAAAAGCCAAACAACCAAACACTCGAAAAAGGGAATAATCAATCTTCTTGTGACAAAGCAACTCATAAGGTGTTTTATTGCCAAGGACATGAGATGGAGTTCTATTAATGAGAAAAACAGTCGTGACAATGCATCAGTCCAAAAGGAAAGAGGAAGTCGTGATTGAAAGTATAAAGCCCGAGCAACATTTAACAAGTGTTGATGTTTTCTCTCCACCACAGAATTTTGTTATGGCCGTTCTACACAAGAAAACTGGTGAAGAACGCCTTGACTATGAAAAAACTCAGTGAAGGCTAATTCTTTAGCATTATCCGATCTAAATTCTTTGACCTTCTTGTCAAACTGAGTAACAATGAGATTAAAAAACCTTAGAATAGCAACATAGACATCAGATTTATGCTTAAGCAGAAAAATCCAAGTGAATCTAGTGCAATCATCAATAAGCGTAAGAAAATAACGATGTCCAAAATATGAAGATAGATCATAAGGCCCCCAAATATCACAATAGACAAGATCAAAAGGAGAAGGAGACATATTATTGTGAGAGACAAAAGAAAGTTTCCTTTGTTTAGCCGACGGACAAATGTAACATGGGGAATGGACAGGGAAATGAGAATCCTGAATCAACAATTGATCTTTCAAAGAATCTAAACACTTATTTGACAAATGACCAAGCCTATTATGCCAAGTATGTACAGACACTTTATTAACATGTACTATAAGCGTATTAGGAAAAGGAATAGCAGCCTTGGTGATAGCATTAAGCAGGTATAAGCCCTCATGTACTTTACCCCTGCCAATCATCCGTTTGCTGGGTGTTTCCTGAATGATGAAGTGGTCAGGAAAGAAATTAAGCTCTACTTGAGAGGCACAAGTAAGAGCACTGACAGAGAGTAAATTGAAATCAAATTGTGGAACATATAGAACATCCCGAAGCACCAAATCTGGACTTAATTGAACATCACCACCAAGGTGAATAGGAATCGAAGTTCTATTAGGTAAAGTCACCAAAGAACTGGGAATTGATTTCAATGACACAAAAACATTAGCAGTAGAACATATATGTCTAGATGCCCCAGAATCAACAACCCATAACCGACCAGAAGACAAATCTTTAGTCAGTGAAATAGATAAACAAGTACCTGTTACACATGAGGATGAGGGAACCTCAGAGGAAGCACTGTGGCAAACAGGGGATAGATGACTGGATAGCAATGCCATTAACTGTTGATACTGATTAGAAGACAAGTTCTGAAAGAAAGTACCAGCATTGTCATTATTACCAGTAGCTGAGGCTCCAATATTCTCTTGAGTAGCGACCTGATTGACTGCAACTCCTTGGTTGTTGAATGACTTCTGACGTTGTCTAAATCTAGGGGGATAGCCATGAATCTTGTAGCACTTTTTGATTGTATGGCTATGATACTTGCAATGCGTTCAAAAAGGACGGTCCTCTTTTGAAGCAGGAGCAGTTTTGTTCCCATAACTTGTATTGAAACTAGCCCTTGATTTAGAAGAATCATCATTCTTTGCCACAAAGGCCATGGAGTTGGAAACCAAGTGAGAACTAATTGTCCTTTGACATTCCTCCTGAGAAATAAAAGAGAACACCTTGTTAATCGGAGGAAGAGGATCCATAAGAGGTAACTGACGTTGAACTTGAGGGAAAGTATCATTGAGTCCCATAAGGAAAGTCATGATGTACTCTATTTGATGGTAAGCAAGGAGTGCCGTAACACCACCACAACTACACTTCCCACACAAACACATGGGTCTGTAATTACTTAACTCTTCCCACAAAGCTTTCAACTTTGTGAAGTAAACACTAACAGATTGTTGATCTTGAGACAAATTGATTAGCTCTCACCTCAGCTGAAAAATGCGAGGACCATTACTTTGTTGAAACTTGTCCTGTAGATCTGCCCAAATCTCAGCGGCAGATTCAGAAAAAATAATGCTCGCTAAGATTTCTTTGGCCACAGAATTGAGAATCCAAGAAATTACAACATTATTATTCTTGATCCAAGAATAAGCAAAGATAAATCGGAACCATCTGGTTTATTGATGGATCCATCAATAAACCCTAGCTTATTTTTCACAGACAAAGGAATCAACATAGCTCGGCTCCAAGATACATAATTGTCTCCAGTCAAAGGTTGAGAGACAAGGGACAGACTAGGACTATCAAAGTGATGGAGGAAAAATGGACTTGAAGGATTGTCAATGGCGGATCGGCCATTGGACAAGAGATTCGAAGCAAATGCTAAAGAATCCATGAGGACTAATCAAGCCAACAAGAGAAAAACAGGAACAAAAGTATGAACAAAACCTGATGAAGAAATCCTGCGAAGAAATCTGAAGAGATCCGGTGAAAATCTCTGGCGAAGAAACTAGGCAGTGGAAAATCGCTCTGATACCATATTACGAGTTATTTTGAGAATGAATAATCTGATTCTCTTGAATTAATTAAAATAAGTACACAACTGTGCTTTTATAGAAGGCAGAGTCCAGAAAGCTTGTTACACGGTTTTAAGCTAGAAAACTAACCATCTAACAGAATACTACCACTTGACATGTATTTACAAGTATTTAGACTTAAAACATTGAGTTATGATTTGAATTGAGAATTTATTTGAGTTTGTGTTTGAGTGGGTCAAAACTTGAATTTGTATTTAGATAGTATTTTAATAAAAACTCAATGGTGATGAAAAATTTTAATAGGGTATATGGATGGGGTTTTATTCATCTCTTCATTGTGAAGGCATAGAAAAAAATCTTCTTAATCGAAATTAAAACGAAAAAATTATGACGTTTTTAAGAATATAAAAAATATTATTCATTAACTTGACTTTGAGTTTAAGAACTTGACTTGAAGGGGAAACTTGAACTCATATTTAACCCAAAACTCAAGTTAAAACTCAAATTTAAACTCAAATTTTACAAATGAATATTAACTTGAATAAAATTGTAACTTTAGTTCAAACTTTTTTTTAGTTTTACTCAAAAAAAACAAACCTTTAGTATCGACAATAAAGTTTCAGAGTTTTTGAAGTGACAAAGCTAGTGAAATCGATGACGATCACCAATTTGGAGCTAAATGAACCTGTTTCGTTGATTCGAGTTGAGATGTGATTTTATATGAGAGCTTTTTACTGTAGTAAAAAAGTTAGATGTGACTGTTTCTGAGAACTTTTTACTGTAACAAAACTCAAATTTTAAACTCAAATCGATGAAATGAACGGAACCTTAAATAACTTTATGGTAAAAGAAACAGTTTTATGAGTATTTGAAAAGTCCGTTTTAAGGACAATGATATTTTTTGTGTTTCGATTGCCCTATTAATCAATGTACAATTTATTTGTCTATTTTTATTGGTTGATTCGTATTACACTATTATTCTAAAATGTATAGAATTGTTCTTATATTTTTTTATTATTCTATTTTAGTACATCTTTGTACTTACTCTTATTGTCGATATCTAATTTTTCTAAAAAAACTTAAAACATAATTGTTAAAAAGTGGAAAATAGAAGTTTTGGCTCTTTGGTGGAAGTTGTCGGTGTTGGAGAAGGAGATATTTACGTTTCGACAATCTAGGGAAGAAAGCTTTTCTTTCTTTTTTTTTTAAATTAAATTATAACTTTTTAATTTTCTATATTTCCAATCACTCTTGAACAGGAATTCACCGTCAAGACGCATTAATTTTCCATTTTACTATTTGACTACTAAGTTAAGACTTTGGGAACTTAACTGTCAAAATTAAAAGATTGATGACCAAGTAGTTAATTATTAAGAGTCTGTTTAATTCACTGATTTGAATTTTTAATTCGAAGTGATATGTGATTTTATGTGATAATTTTTTATTGTAGTAAAAAATTAAATATGACTGTTTCTGAGAGTTTTTTACTGTAATAAAATTTAAATTTTAAATTTAAATCGGTGAAATGAACGGACCTTAAAGTTTAAAGAGTTGCTTTTCATAAAATTATGAATACTAATGTCCTTTCAAAAAAAAAAAATTACGAACAGTAGTTTATTGGAGCCCACATAATTTAGGGAATAAGAAAATGGAATGCTACCCTACGCCCACTTTAGTATTGTTTAGTTAATAGCAATAACAAACAAATTTACTTATCTATTATTTTCAAATTCTGAAAATAACACTACACTCTACTGGTCTCTTGCCTATTTTTTTAATCATTTAAAATGGAGTTTTAGTAACTATACTAATTTACTTTAAGTTTAGTAAACACTAATGGATAAATAAGCATGATTAAAATCAATGATCACTTAATTGTTTATTTCTCATTTTATTTCCTAATCAATGATTACTCATTTTTATTTGTTTATTTCCCTAAGCAAATTCATACTATTTCCTATTAAATTATTTGGTACATATGGCCTATGGATCCATTTAACATTACTGTGATGTTAAAATTTTTTTATTATTGATGTATTATTAGTCAGAAGTTATTTTGACTATATTGAGTTTAGCTTTCCAAGAACTAGACATTAGAAAAATGCTAAATACTCGGGTGCTCAATGGATATACGTAGGAGCTAAGGAATGAGATCACAAATGGTCAATTTGGTCCCCATGAGAATTTTCTAGCTACCCAACAAAAACTCGTCCTTATGACCTATATCAAACAAGAAAAATGATGTGCTGATGTATTTTTCTGCCACACTTTTACTTCCTTATTGTTCTGTTTATGACTAAAATTTTTGACCAAAGTGGAACCAAACCCACAATGACCCATGTCATGGCTCAACAGCGATGCTGGATCTGGTCTTGTCTTTATCACTTGCCAGCATAGCTGGCTAATAATAATGGGGATGTTCGGCAGCTCTTTTTTGAGTTAAAAACTTAAAAAGAAATAATTTGAGTTATAATTTTATTCAAGTTCATATTCTTTTAAGTTTGAATTCGAATTTAAACTCGAGTTTGTGATTAAAACTCGAGTTCAAGTTTCCTCTTCAACTCGAGTTCAGAAACTCGAACTCAAATTAATGAACAGTATTTTTTCTATTCTTAAAAATACTATAATTTTTTCCTTTTAATTCTGACTGAGATGATTTTTTTTCTATGCGTTCACAACGAAAAGATGAATAAAATCTCACCTATATACCATATTAAAATTTTCCATCAGCAATGAGATTTTATTAAAATACTATCTAAATACAATTCAAGTTTTGACTCATTTAAACACAAACTCAAAAAAAAAATTATCTCAAATCATAACTCAAATGTACGTAACTAAATACAAACTCAAATTATAATTTTAATTTAAATTATAACTCAAATTTAATTTAAATTTAATTTAAAATTTATACTCAAATCATTTAACTCAAAAACGATAAAAGAACGTACCCTAACTTTCACGGCGTTCTCATTTTGCCAAAGTACAATACAAACCAAAGCGTAATTGTCACCTTTATGTGTACTGACTTACTCTTTTTTTTTTTTTTCTGCAGCTTTTTGTTATTGTCCCATTATCTACTACTTTTACACGTAAGAAGGAAAGAAAAGAGAAAAAAAAGAAAATATATAAAAAAAATATGAAAAAAATGAAGTTGATATTTTTACAGTGTTTAATATAATAAAAAAAGAAAATATATAATAGTATAAATTATTATTTTATTAATTATTTAATATTAGTTTATATTTTAAAATAGAGATATAAAAGTAAATTTAATCATTAATAAGTAGATTTGAATTTTTCTTTTAATTAATGTCCACACTATAATTATTTTTCATCTTATTTTTCTTTTTCTCCTCTCTTCTTTCTTACTGGCTCCGTTCATTTCGCTGATTCGAGTTTAAAATTTGAGTTGAAATGTGACTTTATGTGAGAGTTTTTTACTGTAGCAAAAAAGTTAGATGTGATTGTTTGTGAGAGCTTTTTACTGTAGAAAAACTCAAATTCTAAACTCGAATCAACGAAGTGAACGGGGCCTAAACAATCAACTCTATCATTTTTCATCCAATAATCTCTCTACCTACTTCATTCCTTCCACTTTTTTATTATACCAAACACACTCATAACGTTTGGTTCATGGATTAGAATCATGTGATTATAATTATTTTTGATTTACGTGTATTGTTTGTGAGAAAAAATACCGTAACAAATCATGAACTATGATTCGAACCATGAACTATGATTCGAACCATGAACTATGATTATGAATCCTTTTACCAAACGTCTAATTAATCTTTTTAGTCATTTTCATACCCCGGTCACTTTCCACGTCATTATTACCATATAGGGACTAGGGAGTAGGGATTTCCACCTTTTTGTTGCTTATATTAATAGCCACTTCACTAGCTACTTTTGAAAGACAAAAATTAAGTTGACAAGCTATATATTAATTCATATAAAATGTCAGGAAAACTACTTTAAAATTTGTTGAAAAAAATACCAGAATTTAGAAACAAAATTTATTGATTTACAAAAAATATAAAAAATTAAAAAATAGAATACTCAAAATTTCATTCAATATAATTAATTTTCATTACAAAAGAACGACTTAATATAGGCAAAACATAATAGAAAATTAGCCTAATTTGTAAATAAAAATACAAAATTTCCAAAAAAAAAAGAAAGGGACCCGATGGACAAAATTAGCCTATTTATAACCAACTGTAGAAATAACGTAAGTTACCAAGTGTTAGGAAATACGTCGTATCATATTAGGAATATATACCAGCTAATAAAGGGGACCCGATGGACATATATTAATTAAGCTACTATAATCATGACAATACTTATTAACTCATAAGTTCATTACATGATTATAAGTTCTAGTGATACTCCACTAAAAGCCTATAAGTGCACTCTCGAGCAATACATTATATTTACAAAGCTCCAATTAGCTATTGTCCATGACTTTATTATATTGTGTATCATTCCCATAGAATATCCATGATCTACTTGAGGTTAAATTTCATTTTACCTTCACGATTATATTTATCTTATGTTCCGTCATCACTCCATTAGAAAACCACTATTTGTACCAATACAAATAGTAAACCATTAGATAACAGATAGTAGTCTAATGGTTGAACGCTCAATGTTTTCCAATCTCGGATAATGCCATAAGAAGATATCATTAACTCTTTTAATAAGAGCTTGGATTCACTATTTATGAATAATAAATCTACGCATACAAGAGTCATACCACCAACATACCGATAAGCGTATCTTCACACAATGTCAGGATGTCTCCCTCTGGCACATCAAAAGGCATAAGTCCAGTATACAGATTATTATTCATCTTAGAATTAAGATGATAACATATGGTTAGTCAAAAGTGAATTGTTTTATTCAAACGAAATTATTAATTGAAACAATTTAACTTTGGTACGATCCAATATAGATTCCACTGTCTCTACCCATGAAGTCTCACCTCCGACGACCAAGACAAGTCGTCTCCGGTAGGAAGTAGACAACATAATAATCTTAACATGAATAAAGCGCTCAACTTTATTTCATCGATTGCGAATTATATTATTTAGACTATCTTTAGATTCGTGTCTTTTGTATATTCTTCACATTATATGCACGATCTAAATATTTAGAGCGACAGCCTCAGACTTCCAGTTTGCTTATCATGCATTCAACTAATATAAACGTAAAGAGGACAAAATACTTGATATATGAAATAAACAAATATCTATTAAATAATCAAAATTTCCAATGTACATTGTTACATTTATTCCTGAAGGACATAAACGCTAACATCTTCTACCTCACGAATGCCATCGTGCTCAAAGAGAAAGACCGATCTCCGTCTTCTCCAGCAATGTTGACGTTGTCGGTGGCGTCATTCCTTTGTTCGTGTAAGTTATAGAGATTTGATTTAAGTAGTAAATGAATCATTTACCAAGTAAATGATTATACCAGGTAAACGAGTCATTTTTAATGTAAACAATTTACCACTAAATTGAATTATTTACCACGTAACTTATTATACCATTGAAAGAGCTCCCTCTCTCCTCTGATTCATAAATAGCTTGTTAGAATCGCGAAGCCCATGACGGTAGAATTGACGCAACGTTAGAAAATTAAAGCTCACAAGGGGGTGGTAATTTGTGTTACGTGTTGTGTTCGTGTCGTATTTTAATCATTTTTTTAAAAATTTACAATCAACCCAAACACGACTTGTGATACAAAATTTTTTAAAAATCACAACACGAACACGACACGACCACTTTAAATATGTTATTTCTCTCATTTCTCCCAGCAAAAAATGGGAAAAAATTCCTAATTTTCTCGCTAGACAATGGGCCGAAGTTAGGTTAAGGCCCATCTGTTATATTAGTAAAAGACAAACAATGCCCAGCCCATAATCAATTCACCCTTTCCTCCTAATCCTATATATGACTCTGAAACCCTAGACATATTTTTCTTCGCCGTAGCCCCAATTCACACAACCAGAGCTTCATCTCCAGAGAAAAATGACGACGCGATTCAAGAAGAACCGGAAGAAGAGGGGCCACGTGAGCGCCGGGCACGGCCGGATCGGGAAGCACCGGAAGCACCCCGGCGGTCGGGGAAACGCCGGAGGAATGCACCACCACCGGATCCTGTTCGACAAGTACCACCCGGGGTACTTCGGGAAGGTCGGCATGAGGTACTTCCACAAGCTCCGGAACAAGTTCTACTGCCCCATCGTCAACATCGACAAGCTCTGGTCCATGGTTCCCCAGGACGTCAAGGACAAGGCCTCCAAGGACAATGTCCCCCTCATCGACGTCACCCAGTTCGGCTACTTTAAGGTTTTGGGGAAGGGCGTCTTGCCGGAGAACCAGCCGGTCGTCGTCAAGGCCAAGCTCGTCTCCAAGATCGCCGAGAAGAAGATCAAGGAGGCTGGCGGGGCTGTTGTTCTCACGGCTTAGGTTTTTTATTTTTCTTTTTATTTCTGATCGAGAAATGGTGTTTGTTTGTTTGTTTTTCTTACTTTTGGTTTTTGTTATGAGTTAGTTTAGTTTTTTATTTTGTTGCGCATTTGGAATTGGACCGGTTATTGGTAATTACCCAATGGGAAATGCTATTACAGATTTTGATAGAATTTATGGATTACGTTAGTTAGTGATATGCTCTGTGTTAGATTTGAATAATATGAAATGTGCTTTAATTTTTGGTATACAGCGCCTCTCATTTGCGGATTCAAATTATTTTTAATTTGAAGTAGGATATGACATGGGTTAGATGTGATATTTTTTTAAAAGTTTTTAATTATAAAAATTTAAAATTAAAAATTTAAATAAGTGAAATGAATAAAGTTTAATTTATCTGATTTGTTTGAAAAGTTAATTGGAATTAGCATATAGTGAAATCTTAAGGTTCGTTTAGTTCGCTGATTTGAGTTTTTAATTCGAGTTGAGATGCGATTTTATGTGAGAATTTTTTACTGTAATTAAAGAGTTAGATGTGACTGTTTTTAAGAGCTTTTTACTATAATAAAACTTGATTTGTAAACTCGAATCGGTAAGTAAACGGGGCTTTAATTGGATTGTTGAAACTTATTTGGGTTTGAAGCTGTTCAAGAGGGTTGTTATATGGTGTCTGGAGTTTAATTCATGGAAACGATGTCGGTTCCATTTTATAATTTCACCGTTCAAGGTTCACCAAGTAATATATCAGTTAAGGATTCACAATAAATAATTGTATAAAGTTCCTTAAGGCTTCGTTCATTTTACCGATTCGAGTTTTTAGTTTTAAGTTTCTACAGTAAAAAATTCTTAGAAAATGTCACATTTAACTTTTTCTGCTACATTGAAAAGCTCTTAAAAAATGTCACATCTCAGCTCGAATTAAAAACTCGAATCCGCGAAGTGAACGAGGCCTGTAATCCTAAAATTTTAGTTTGTTAGTAATCGTATTTCGAACAGTAGTGTTGGGAATTCTTCACCCGTTTTAGTAAAAGCTCGTATTCAAGAATATGAAAGTCATTATTCCTGATAGAATCATTTGGATTGTTGAAAGCTCAGTATTAGGACATTATTAGTTCTAGCTTAAGTTATGTTGGGTGATTGGTACAGTCACGGCAGTGAAAATTTATAGAAGTTGTTTTCAAGAATGTTTCCATTCATTTTGTTGGTTTGAATTAGGTCTGTAAGTTTAGACCGAACCAAACAGGTTGGCTTGAGGCCCGCTACTATTAATCCGGGCCCGACCCGGCCCTAAATTTATTGAGCTTAGAGCCGGGTCGGCCCTCTCTCATTTAGGGTTGGGACATCATATTTTCAAACATTTTTTTAAAAAATGCCTTATTCAAATCTCGGGTCGGGCCATGCTAGCCCTAAACATTTTAGGCTTAGGGTCGGACTGACCGACCCTCTCTATTCCTTTTCAGGCCGACCGGCCTAAACTTACATATCTAGTTTGAATTATAATTTAAGTTTTTACTACAGTGTTCTCTCACAAAAATTTAAATTCAACATTTTTTGTTAATGTTTTCTCCTACATCAATTAACATTTTAATTCAAGTTCTCAACTAAAATAGCGAAACGAACGGAGCCTTTTAGCATATGTGGGCTGGTGATGCATGTGTTTTATCAGCAATTTAATATGGTTGTCATTTTGGTGATTTTATTGTTTTGATTGGAGAACTTTCACACAACTCAGAGGGTGCTCTTTGTAGCTACTAAATTACTTGCGTAGATGCAGAACATTCAATAACGCATTTTAGCACACTTATTTAAATTCTTGCATCAGAAAAAAGGAGTATTTATTGAATCCGTCAATCTGATTAATCTGCATAAGTCAATCTAGTTTGTTGGATTGAATTTGATTTAAAGAATTTTAGATTGGTAACAAATTAAATGTAATAGTGGATTGGATTGCGAATTGAGCATTTTTCAATCAACATAATTCGTCAATTCGAACTATATATATTATATATATATTTAAATAACATATGTAGTAGTTTTTTAATTATATAATACATTTATATAATATAGGTATATATGCAATACATATACATAATTTACATAATTTTATGTTATGATATGTTTTTGTTAAATTTTATCATTAATAATATTGAAAAAGAGATGGCTATAAGAGTCAAGGTTCAAAATGTAGTCTAATCAACAAATATGCAAATCCAATTTTCGATTTACGTGTATTTTTTGTGAGAAAAAATACTGTAACGAACCACGAATCATGATTCGAATCAGCGAACGAATCCCTCTACCAAACGCCCTATAAATTGGGGTCTGACGAATGGGTAACAAATTGAGATTTTTTCAATCCGTTGTAACAGATGGGATTGTAGATTTAACTCATAATCCGATCAGCGAAAAAAAAAAGGAAAAATTGAATTACTTTCTTATGCGGGGTATGTTGTAGAGCGACACAAATGCTTGCAACTACACCAAAGGTTTAGTAAAGATAACGAGTGAAATCATCCAAAAAAAAAAAAAACGCTATCTTTGCGCAGTGCATCAATTATCATTATTTTAATTTCAATCCCATATAAATCAATGAAATTACAAGCGTTAGCAACGAAGCTTTTGACCACAATGGTGAGGCTAAATTACATTGATATCTCGCGCCCATAAATGTGTCCATACTTGCTCATACTGATTAGACTATTGGACAAATAAACGTCAGAACTAGCAATAATATGAGTATTCTGTGCAACATTTTAAAAAATAACAACAAATAACGACTACCCTAGAACTTGAGTTATAATTGCTACAACTTGTATATCAAGATTAATATTAAGGAGCATTGATAGATAAATAGGCTGCAAAAGAAAAGAGCTGAAATTCTCTTGCACCAAAAAGTTGGTAGCTACACTACCACGATCTTTTGTTCCCGAGAGGCACGGTGTTTGATCCGGATTTCAAAGCCCTGTTGCCAAAGCCCCCTCGCCCTCTGGACCGGAAGCTTCCCCCAGAACCTAACAGAAAACAAGAGGAATAGAATTTGTCACCTATAATTATATATAGCAGAACAACAATTCAAAACAGGGTGAGTTGTCACCTCCTCCGCTTGAACCAGCTGACCGCACCAATGCAGACAATGCAGGAGTCACAACCTGACCTGCTTCTTGCAGGATCTTGATCAATTCACGAGCGAATTTCGCATTCGCATGCGTAAAAAAGGTGAGAGCAGTTCCCCTAGCCCCTGCACGACCAGTTCTCCCAATCCTGTGGACGTAATCCTCGAGGCTTGATGGAAAATCATAATTGATCACACATTTTATGTCCTTTACATCTACAACCAAAAAGGCAAGAGTTTAGATCAAATGAAAGAAAAGTTAGAAGTCCCAAGACAAGGAGAACACTGCAAACAACCTTATCCCTGCACCCTAAGATCTGGAGATCAAATTTAAGATAACACATTCATCACATAAATGTGCCCACCTTAATTTTGCAGGGATAAGGAGCAGCTTCACCACCACCACTTCCATATCCAACAAATCAATAAGCATGTGTGAGTCAACCGGGCTGCAAAACAACCAGCTCTGAACAGTGGATGGGCAACGATAAGTCCAATTCCGTTACCTAGACACCGGATAAAAGGAGCCATACTACTGCGGGCACCTCCATTGAATAGCTAAACCAAAACCCACAAGGCAGTACTAAACCGTCTTAAAACATGAGTTTCGTTACGATCGCAAATATGAATGCGCTATAGTGACATGCTGCCTCTACAATTAAGTTTAGTGTCCAAATCAGATCAATTAAAATTTTCTTCTGAAGAGCAAAGTCAATAACCATGAGCTCGAAGATATTGTCAAACCAGAATTTGATAAAGTTCCTATTATGTAGGAGAAACCTATATTTCTTCCAATGCAATTCAGTGAACTCTTGATCAAGTATAAGAACACCTACCTTCGCACCCAACCACAAGTTCTATTCTCAATAAACTGGACAGCAGCCGGCGACTCGCTTATCTTTGAAATTTCAAGACCCAAAGGAAACCAAAAGACTCCTAAAACACAGTGATCCTACCAAGACCCCGTGCAGCCACATCAGTGGCGGTCATTATAGGGCTTCTGCCACTCTTAAATTCAGCCAGGACCCAATCCCTTTCAGCCTGATTTTTGTCACCATGGATGGATAGAGCAGGCCATCCATCCATTCGCAATTGCCTTGTTACTTGGTCACATGCTTTTTTTGTCTCAATAAATATCAGAATCTTGCCCGAATCCACCATTTCTTTGAGTAGTTTTATCAGCCTGCACAGGTGCGAAAAGTTACAGCATTACACCGGCAAGGCAAAACAAGTACCTTCTTTTGCTGATATGTCAGGGTAAAGACAAACCTATTATATTTCTCCATGTCAGTCACAACTTCAACAACTTGGTTAATAGATTGATTTGCCTTCAAATTTGGTGATCCAATGACTACCTAGGAAATGTCAACAACAATTCAGCAGACATTGAAGAAGAATTTAAACAAAGTATATCTCCTCATAAAAGCTGAAACATCATGCGAGTTAAGAAGAACTTGAAGACAGACCTTATAGGGATTGCGCAAAAACTGCCTTGCTAGGGCTTCAACCTCCCTTGGCCACGTAGCGCTCCAATACAGTGTCTGCCTATCTGGTCGGATCTATAGTAAAAATACACTAGGTTTAATGCAATTTAGACAAAGTATTTATTCCTTTGACAGCACTTTTACACGCTGGCCCACATCCAGATCTCAAATCAATATATACTTAAATAGAATCATATCCTGGCCATGCACTTGATTGAATCTACAATGTGCAATTCTGAATTCAAATACTTTATTGGCCCAAAAGACCTGGTGCTATTTAATGAATCATGGAGAAACAAATCCACGAAATGGCTAAAGTAGGAGCATTAGAATGTCAAAAGATATCCGAGCTCCTCTAAATTATATATATATATATATATATATAGTTGTTTAGAAAGTAGATAGATCTCCAAAATAAAAATTCTCAAGGAAACTTTTCTAGAGTGACAGAAGAACCATACTTGGGAAATAATTTTCCGTATCTGAGGCTCAAATCCCATATCCAACATCCGATCAGCCTCATCCAGCACAAGGTAAGTCACTCTTCTTAAATTTGTGTGTTGAGCTTCCAACATATCTATCAGTCGACCAGGTGTGGCAATCACAATCTCAACCCCTGACAAATGCTAAAAGCAATTACATTCCAGTTCCAATAACCTGAGTTGTTTTAGACTCATAAACTTCCAAATTATTCGTAGTGTACCAAAAAAAAAAAAGTACCTCTTTTAAGATCGCGAATTTGAGGTCCTTTCGGAGCACCACCATAAATGCAAGTACTCCTAATACTAGCACGTACACCAAATTTTACAGCTTCTTGAATTTGAACGGCCAATTCCCTAGTAGGTGCTAATACTAACACAATAGGACCCTCACCTTGTGCTGAAAGGTGTACAAAGGAATAATCAAGAAATAAGCAATTATTTAATCGATAAAACCAGCAATTGAAGTCGCAGTAAACGCAGCGAATGCTTACCTAATTGAGGTTGTGCGCTCACATGAACCAAAGCCGGCAGCAGATACGCCAAAGTCTTCCCTGAACCAGTCTCAGCAATGCCAATTAAATCCCTACCCTTGAGAGCCATAGGCCATCCTTGAGCCTGAATTGGCGTCGGTTCAACAAACCCCAATTTCGCAATCACATCGAGACAGTAACCTAAACAAAACAAGAACACATCAATACAGACCAAAAAAAAAAAAAAAAAAAAAAAAAAAAGTCAATACACAGCCATAGCAACAATAACATTAACGACAAGAGAAATTCAAAACAGTAATCTAAACAATCATAATTTTGAGCAATAAAAAAAAGCCAAAAAGAAGAAGAAACGTCTGAACATAAAAGCTAAGCACGTCAATATCCCAAAAACCACTGTATAAAAGTTGATAAACAGTTATAACAATACTCAAATAACTTTCATCCATGGCCAGAAAACTGCCAGAAAACTAGTACCAGGGAAATTCGCCTCCTCAAACCTCCGAATCGGCTTCGGAACATCTTGCCCTTCAACCGTGATCTCCCTCCTCACCCGGTACTGCACTACCTCATGCTCCGTCATGGCCCTCACAGAAGGAGATTCTACGTAGAAATTCTTCTCAAAAGGGACCAAATTTCCGAAATCCTGCCTGGGAAGAGCCACGTTATCCAGGTCCCCTCTCGACGGCGGACCGTGTCTGCCTCCTCTTCCACCGCCACCGCCGCGGCCATCAAAACCCCTCCCTCCACCGCGCCCACCGCCAAAACCCCCGTCGAAACTCCTATTCCCGCCAAATCTGCCTCCGCCACCGCCACGTCCCAAATCAAAACCCCTCCCTCGTCCCTCTCCACCGCCACCACGGCCTCTCCTGTCGCCACCGCCGCCTCGGCCTATATCAAACCGACCGACCGGCGGCTGAAAGGGCGGAAATCCATTTAAATTCCCAACATTCGGTACAGCTCCGTGAACCGGCCCGCCGTAAGAAGCTGGAACGCTGCCGCGGCCATAGCCTGTGCCCCGGCCGCCTATCCCCGGTGCTGGTGCCGGGCCCACAAGGTCACTGTACAAAATCAGGGAAAAAATTCATATTTAACGTTGTTTCAGAAAAAGGAAAACAAATTGAACACAAACCGATCGCCGACAAAGGAAAAAGAAAGATCTTGACTGGAGTTAGGTTTTGAAACAGAGCGCTTACCTCCGGCGATCGCGGTAGGAGCTGGGATCGGCGAGGCGGTGGTCGTACGGATTCATCGTTGAAGATTTGATTCTCTCTCTCTCTTAGGGTTCAGAAGCTGAAGAAGAGAACTAGCTAAGTTGTACGATATCTCTTTACCAAGAAAGAATAATAGAACAAATAATAATAAAAAAAAACTTGATTTAGATTGTTCTATTTTATATAAACTGGATTTTGCTGTTTGCTTGGTCGGCCGGAAAATTGGTGTCCCGGTTGGGGAAGAAAGAGTTAAGAAACTAGAATTCCAGGAGAACAAGCAGGAAATAAGCTTTACCCATTATAAAATGACCCTTTTATAGAGTTTTTTTTTTATTTTTATTTTTAAAAAGACTCAATTTTTGAGTAAATTGAATAACTTTTATAAAATTATAGAAAAATTACCCATTTTTTATTAATTTTAATTTCATGTTGATTATTAACTAACTTATCAAACATTTAGTTCATAAATTCAGAATTATTATTTATAATTATTCTCAATTTGTGTGTTTTTTATGAAAAAAAAACTGTAATAAGTCACGAATTATGATCTGAAGCATGACACGAATCCTTACTCCAAACACGTAATTAGCGATTACTGGTTAATCATAATTATTATTAATTAACAATGGTAGAAAACCACCATTTTCTTAAAAAATAAAAAATTAATCTATTTGATTAAATTTTAAATTTTACGATAGTCTGTTAAAGAAATGGTTAAAAAGGGATGCTTTATCTAAATTTTATTTTTCTACGCTTTCTCTTTTTTTTTTATTTATTTATTTGCTAGTGTAATTTTCCCCGGAGCTTATTAAACTACATAATACATGGTCCATGGTGCCTAGAAAACAAGGAACTGCAAAAATACTTTTAGAATGATGAACAAGAATTACATAATTATTATTGCGCCTAGGGGTGTACTCGGTTCAGTCGGTGTGGTTTTTCGCACCGCTGGCCAACTGACCGTCAATTCGGTTATGGAAAGAGCGAAAATCGAAACCGACCGACCATGCAGGGGTGGTCGAATTGCACTGCCCACACCCAAGTCAGTTTGGTTTCAATTTAAACCGCGTTTTTTTTTTATAGAAAAACCTAATCTCAGCTTCAGAAAAGCTTACCCACAGCCGCGAATTCACAGGGACTGGTGAGAAAATCGGAGACTTACTTTCGGTCCTGGGAGTCTAGGAGAAGCTCGACTAACAATCATAGAATAAAACCAAATTTTAGAAAAACAACACGTAAAAAAATCATAACCTTAGAATATCCAATGAAAGAAACCCCTACCACGAGGTCTACGATGACGGCAGAGGAGCGACGGGGCCAAAGGAAGGACGGTGGCAAGAGAGAATAGTGAAGGAGAAGTGGAGCGGCAGCGGGATTTAGTGTTTTTTCTAAAAACCAAATACTAGATAGGATAAGAAATGAGAGAGGGTTGAAGGGGTAAGAGGAGGGTTAGGGTATTTTGTGTCAAAGGACTTACAACGTCGTCGTTTTTAGTTAAAAAAACAAACTTTTTATGTTTTTCTTATTTTTCGGTTCAGTTCGGTTAAAACCGAACACAAAAACCCATAAACCAAAACCGACCGACTTATCTTACAGACAGTTCAGTTTCAAAATTGAAATTTTCAGTTTTCTCATTTTCGGTGCTTCTCGGATCGGTTCTGTTTAGGTTTGGTCGGTGGATGTTGGTTTTGGATATCCATGAGTAGGGGTGGCAATTCGTGTTGGTGGGTCGTGTTTGTGTCGACTTGTTTATTAATCGTGTCAGAAAACATCAACCTAAACACGACTTGTTTATTAAACGTGTTAAAAATGTCAACCTAAACACGACTCATTTATTAATCATGTTAATCGCGTCAACTCGTATAATAAATTAATATATTGAATAAATAATTAATATAATAATGACTTGTTTAACACCGTCAAGACAACTTTAACATGTTTATTGGTCAATTTATCTTTTTCTTTAAGAAAAATAAATGAATTTTACTTACAAATATTAAAATTCACATTATTTATATTTATTATGTCATGTAAATTTTCATATTATATCACATATAATTAGATTGTAGATGACACATATAGTTAATCGTGTCAATTCGTATTAGAAGGTCAACCTTAACCTAATATATTTATTAATCATGTTAATTGTGTCAACTTGATTATGACCCAAACTCATTTATAATAAACTCAAACCACTAATTTCGTGCAGATTTCAAATCGTGTTGTCGTGTCACTACTTAAATTGCCAACCCTATCCATGGGCACCACTAATTACGCCATCCTGTTGACTTTAATTTTTTTGTTATTTTTGAATCACCGTAGTTCTGGAAGGAGGTTGTCCGTTCGTTTTAGACTATTGGCCATATTTGTAGTTCTCTTGTTTATTCTATTATTGTCATTTTTGTTATTTTATTTTCATTTGTTTTGTCTTAGACTACTTAAATTGTTATTTTTGTTATTTTATTTTCATTTGTGTTGTCTTATATTATTGTCATTTTAAAATGATATATTATTAGATTTGATGTTGTTTTCGTTTTGATAATTTTATGTCTTTTCTGGTTATTCTCATTTTGACTTTAGTGCCATCCAAATGGTGTTGCCGTTTCTCTTTTTTAAGTTCATGTCGTATGTAGTGTTACGGTTTTTCAATTTACTATGTTCTAAATAGTGTTGTCGTTTCAAAAAATAAAATAAAATAAAAAAGGTAAATTGTAACATCCCACTTTATATTTCAATACATAAAGCACTTTTTTAACACCCTGAAAAAATTAATGAGATCAATTAAGGTAATTAAAATTTATTAGTGTGCCTAATCTGGTTTAATTAATTATTTATTTATTAATAAATATTTCTAACATGTAAAGTTGAATAATTTCAATGTATTTAAATATTCTCAGTATTTACATTTTTACCCAAAAGTGTGTTTGGGCACATTTCTGGACTGTTATTTTAAATGTTTGACACCTGTCCACTTTTCTTTTCTTTTTCTTTTTCTTTTTCTTTCTTTTTCCTTCCTTTCCTTCTTTCCCTGCCTGTGCATACTCTCTCTCTCTCTCACTTTCACTCTCATTCTCACTCTCTCTCCCTCTCCCGTTCAAAAATCTTCACCGAATCAAACCGGATTCGAACCAAAGGAAAATTTCAAGAAGTTTTCAACGCCAAGAGAAGGATTTGAGGTAAGGTTTCAGAAAAACCTCTCTTGATTCTTGGATTTCAGATTTCAAAACTTATTTTTGGTTCGAAATGGATTTTGATGGATTTTGAGTAAAACCATGGTAGAAATTGGAGATCTTGGATTCTTTGGACTTGATTCAGTACCTAGAACCCGGATCTAGTGGTTTCCATTTGAGATATCTTGATTTGGACTCAGATTTACAGGTTTTTTGGCTGATTTCACGGGTTTTCCTTGGCCTGCTGTACTTCACACGTCGACCGGACTGCATTAAGTCCACCGGTCGACCTATGTGATCAACCAAATTGCACACCACCGGTCGACCGGTGGTGTTGCACTGCACTGTCACCGGTCGACCGGTGTGCACTGGGTTTGACCCTGATTTTGAGGAGAACCCAAATTAGCTTCGTTTGGGGACCTAGAATGAATGGATTAACATCTTTAATCCATGTTTTGAGATTGAAAACCATTGGAATGATGATTTGAAACATGAAATAGTTTGTGAAACCGATAATTGAATTATGGCACACTAATAGGAAATCAAAGGATATAATTGAGATTGAAATTACTTTAGGAATGAGAATTGAATTCTAAAGTGTTGTCTTGTATCAGTGCTAGCTGAGGACTCAGATTGAGACGCTTGAGAAAGCAAAAGCCGGAATAGAGTAACGCTAGCCACATGTTTGATATTTATGAGGTAGGATTCCTTATCCCTTTCTTTGTGAGCCTGTTTTCAAAGAGTTTTGGCTTTGTAAATGTTTTAAAGAAAGTGCATATTTGCGAAAGAAAAGCATGTTTAAAAACAATAGCTTGATTTTAGCTATTGGAATTATAATGAACTGTTTCATAAAGTTTAATGAATGATTTCTTAAGACAAGAGATCTTGTGAATCGGTAAACCGGCTGATGGCCTAGATAGGATGTGGAGAGTGCATCCTTGAGGGCAGAACCTGAAACCCGACCCGGGGGTGATTAGGCTTGTGCACGTGGTTGTGTAAGTAATTTATCATAGTATAAATTACTTGCTGATGCTCGTAATATAGAGATTTTCAGTCATATTGCCTTTGAGAAAAAGGATGTGAGGTTCCGGCTGTTGTATTGGAACTGAATGTCTTATTTATTCATTTATTTATTTATTTACTTGCTTACCTATTTATTCATTTATTTATTTATTTACAAAGTTATTTCAAAATATATCCTACTGGGCCTTTCGCTCACATTTTATTGTTTTATAAATGTTAAACCCCTCCCAGGCGACTCTAGGAGCAGTGCGGAGTAGCTGAGTTGCTACCACCGATTAAGATAGGATTGTGTTCATCATTCTAGTGTACGAATGTAAGAATTTGTAAATTCTGTAAACTCTGATATTTGGATTTCTAGACTGTGGTTGATGTCTGTAATGTTATTTACGCGTGTCATGTATGTACAATGCTGAAGATCCTGTGGGTGTAGCCCTGAACATTGTTAGAGGCTTGAGTTTTAGTCTCTCCCTTGGAATGTATAATTTAATTTCCACTAAATGTCGTATGGAGACTAATTGAGCCTCTACATCACCGACCCCTGCCCCGGGGCGTGACACTTTTATAATGAGGAAATTACAATAAAGTACCATACAAAAGCTAATCTTAATGTTCCTATACAACTCGACATTTTCGTACATGTCGATCCCATACTCTAGCGTCGTAGTGACACAAAATTTACTATTTTAATTAGAAAATTAGGTATGATTATTATAGAAATATAATATTTTAATCAAAAGTTACTATTCACAAATAAGATTTTATTATGCATAGTAACTGTATATTACCCTAAAGTTTTCCTATAAATAGGCATTCAGAATTCATTATTCATTGTCTCAGAATTTCAGAAATGAAATTATTTTGCTCTTCCTCTTTCTAAAATACTTATTCTTAGTGGAGGTACTAGCTCTAGTTTTCCAGAGTTGAAGTTTTGCTGATAAGGTACAAGTTCTAAACTCATTACTATATATGCTATATAGTTTTTTTTACTATGGTACTGCTTAGGTAAATAATCCAGGTTAATCCATTATAATTCGTTATATTGCTCAATTACTGTAAACATGAATAGTACCCGCATGTGTGAATAGTGCCCATATACGTGGATAGTTTCTGAATGCATAAATAGTCATTATATGCATGAATAATACTCATATGCGCAAATAGTACCCATGTACGTGAATAGTACTGTATATGTCAATAGTATCCATACATGCAAGTAATACCATATGCACGAACCATATCCTATGACTGAACAATACCGTATTATACCCATGAAAACCGTATATGTGAACTTTACAAACTCTAGACAAAGGACTGAAGGACTAAATGATTGGACCTAATGGACAACAAGACTGGACAAATTTATAGACTTGAAAGTGAAGTAAAAATGGAATAGCAGTACCATATGTTTAGTTATTATGTTAATATTATTAAGCTATTTTGGTTAATGATATAGTATTGTGATTGTGATTATATTGGTTAGGAGTATATTTCTCTACGGGAAGCTGAGACAAGATAAGTAAAGTTTTCACCTACAACACAAATTAAAATATATTGAAAATTATTTTCAATACGTTTATACTTGATATATTCTTGTTATAACTTCTCATACAATATCTTTGCATTTGCTATGTTGAAGCATTACATTCACTTTAAAGTTGAAAGATAATAGGAGATGCTGCCTAAGTAATTATTCATAAATTATTTCAAGGTCAAGTACCTTCATAGGAGCATAGAGCTTAACAAAAGTTATTATGCCAATAGTTGGCAATTAAAGAAGTTAAAGTTTACTCAGGCAATATTCTCCAGGGCCCTAAAATGAACAAAAAGAATGAAGTAAAGAATGAGCATAAACGAGTTAACTTTCATGTGAGATAATAACATTGCTTACTGATCGTTAGCTCATCAATTTATTTATACTTGTGTTGTAGATAAGGGATGAAGTATATTGAATTAAACTGAAGAATGAACAAGGTGCCAAACTAACGTGTTAGTACATATGGAACCGACCTGCTGGGAGAAAAAGTTTAAAGAAGGCACTATTATATTTTAAATAATTACGAGTATGTATTTAAGACTTTATGCTGTGAAATTTTATGAAGCATGTTATGTAACAAAAGTTTAAATTTGTTTGAATTTTTGTGTAGTGTGTGTTATCAACTATTGCAATATATTTGAATATTCGTATCTTTATAATAGTTGCATTTTAAAAAGGAATGTTACATAAATAATGTTTTTGGAGTAAATATAAGGTTTTAAAATATATGAAATAATATGTTTACCGGTAACTAAATTATTTACTTATTCATATTTATCAATGAATATGTTATTTATTTTAACATATTTCAAAACATGTTTTTCACATTAAAAACACAAAAAAAGTACATGATTTGTCATGATTTTAAGAGGCCTTTGTAAAAATAACTCTTTTGAAAAGTTTTATTAGTAAAATAACTTTTCAAAAAATTTTATTTGTAAAATGACCTCTTTTTACAAAGAATGAGTAAGTGTCTTTCTTCATAAAAAATAGAAGAAGGTTATTTTGCTAATTTCACTTTGTTGGATAGTCATTCTAGCATATTGCCCTGATTTTTTTAAGCATGTTTATTGCTTAAGTTATTTTAAATAATCAAATGTCATTGTAGCTTTTTATTTTTTTATTAATTAAATGTAAATTATTATTTTTAAGTGAAGTGACATAGATATTATTTTTATCATCATGAGTGTATTTATGTTTTTCTCAAAAAAAAAAGAAGAAGAAGTTATTTATGGAAATTTGTACAAGGGAGAATAAACGAAATAATATATTGCTAGGGTGCTTAGTAATTATAGCATAGTTTTTTAGAATGTGTAATAAATAGCATCATTTAATATCTTAAATTCTTAACACTATTAAAATTTTAAAAGTACCCCTTAACTCTTTCTTTCCTCATGGCCAAGTCCATCAATGCCAGCACTCGTGATCAGTACATCGCTAGTCACCTACACCGATGACTGGTAAATTGTAACGATCATCACCTTCACTTTGTATGATATTGTTCACTTTGTATGATATTGTTCACTTTGAGCCTGAGCCTGTATAGTTTTACATTTAGGCTCACCTCAAAAAGCCTCGAATCATTGAGAGGTAATGTCATTCCTTATAAACAATCACCTATAACTATTCTCAGGCGATGTGAAACTGTACAACTTACCCTGCTTTGACCCTTTCGCCTCAAGGGATTGATGACTGTCACATAAATATTGGTTTTATCTATAAATATAAACGCCGACACTAGCGCTGATACAGGTAACCATTAAATATTGTATTTAAGAGTAAATATGGTATTTATTAGTCACCAGCTACTGGCAGCGGCGCTAACACCAGTGATAAAGAAAGAGATTGAGAGATTGAGAGTGGTGATTGGCTAAGTGAGAAACAAAAGAAATGAAAATCTTACGAGCGCGGGTAAATTTAGAAATGAATATTTTTTTCAAAATGAAAATTCAAAATATACTATAACTTACCAACATTAAAAAATTCAATAACATGTCTAAAATATGTTGGTTGCTACATTTTTCTTGAGAAAATGTAGTAAATGACATATTTATTAAACTAAATTAAGTAAATAGTATATTTAAAAACTATTTGAAGTAAATAGGAGTTTACTGCTTAAATTATTCATTTACGACTCGAAAAAAGATTTTTTTTCCACGTAAGTTTTTTTTTTTACGACCGTTAAAATTTTTTATTTTACGCAAATCATTTTTTTACCAGTCCTAAATAATGCATTTTATATAATAAACTGCTATTTATTTCAAATAATTTAAAATCTTCTATTTACTTAATTTAATTTAAAAAATTTGATATCAATTTCCCTATTTGAGATCTCTTTGTGAAAAATATGAGAAATCTTGACAATTATTACCTACTCTAGATTAATATTTTTTAATCAAATAACTATATTAACAAAAATGTGCTAATAAAAATAAGATATAAAAATTCAAACTCATATAGTTTTAGGGTAATTACAACAATTTTCTCATATTTATTTTTATTTTTATATATGTTTCTTTTGGCCCGTTACAAGATTTTGAAGCTGAGGCCCAGCCCACTTAAACTTCCATCCCACGAGTCACCGTCTTGAAATTTATTAAACCCTAAAACCTGTTGAAAATCACCAGAACCTTCTTCAACGCAGAGCAGAGGGCTAAGCTTCTTCATCGATTAACGATGGCGGACGACGATTATACCGAGATGGATATGGGGTTTCTCTCTCTCTCCCTCTCCTGATTTCTGTCCCTTTCTCACTTTTCTGCTTAGAACTTCGGCTTAGGGTTTTCAGTTCGATTGTTTCATTTAGTTTTCCGATTTTGGGGAAAGATTTGAAATATCAAGTTTGTCTTTCTTTTTTTCAAAATATGGAACATGCTGTAAAATTCACCGTTTTACGGCTAATTTTTCGTAGTTTTAGTCAAGATTAGTTCTCGACGCAACGTGGACTCCTAGGGTTTTGATTTTTTCCCTTTTCTTTTTCCCTCAGTTTCTTGTTTATCGAACAAAAAGATGTATTTTATATCTTTCAGAACGTTTAGGAAAAATTTTAAAACTTGAAGAGCATGAGTTTGTTGAAGTTATCAAGTTTAAAATGTAAGTTTATACTACGAAATATATATGCGTATCTCTTTTTTTTTTCTTTGATAGATTGCATAATCAGGGCTATATTATGCATTTAGTGGTAGTGTTTGTTTGATCATGTTAGTATATACATACATATATATAGATATGTATATATATGTGTATATATACTCGGAGCTTTACATATCTGCTGAATACTACGAAGTACAAAATTTTTGTGTGCTTGTTGAGAATTTTCTAGTTTTACTTTGGACCAATTGCACACTTGTTCTGAGTTAATAGTAATTTTATTAAGCTTGATTATTGTAAACACGTTCTAAGTCAATTTTAATCTTGAATGTATATGCTTCGCATGGGGCTTGTATGTTGATAATTTGTGCCGTGGAACTGCATTCGAAAGTCATTTATTGAAAGCATTTTTATTTATATTTATTATTATTTTGTCTTTGTTCAGGTACGAGGATGAGCCACCAGAGCCTGAAATAGAAGTAAGGCCACAAGTTTGTGTTTTGTTCTCTTTTTCAAAATGTAGAGCTAGATGTTTGCTTTTAACCGAAATACTGAATGAATGAACAGGAAGGCGCAGAGGAAGATGTGGATAACAACAACAATGATGACACTGGCGGGGAACCTATTGAAGCTGAGGACAAAGCAGATGAAGAACCCGTCGAACATCCTCGCAAAACTTCGAAATATATGACCAAATATGAACGTGCTAGAATATTGGGTACGCGTGCCCTGCAGATCAGGTACTTTTCTCTCTCTCTCTCTCAGTCAATCAACATTAATTGATCCTTGAAATTTTTGTTTCCTGATGAACAGCATGAATGCGCCTGTAATGGTTGAGCTGGAAGGTGAGACAGACCCACTTGAGGTATGATTCTCCCCAAAATGTTAATTGATCTAGACAGCTATATAACATAGCAGCCAGCAATAGGAGTACATGATACATACATAATTTATACGGCTTTTTTAGCATATAACTGTTGTATGCTTCGCGCTGATTTTATCTTTCTTGTTTCTAAACACGTTACTATTGTTGTTTTCTGTTTTTGCAGATTGCAATGAAGGAGCTTCGTGAACGGAAGATTCCCTTTACTATACGCCGCTACCTGCCTGATGGAAGGTGAGGTTCTTTTATAAAAAGTACTCAGTTTCTTAGACATCATTGAATCTTTTGGCTCATGGAGCATCAAGTCCGGTGGTTTGGCCTTTTGTTATTTCCTCTTTTTTTGATATCATTCGGGCTCTAAGTATTGTTGTTTTTCTTTTCAATCCTCCAGTTACGAGGACTGGGGAGTCGACGAACTGATCGTGGAGGACTCGTGGAAGAGGCAAGTTGGTGGTGATTGAATCTGTTCTCACTGGGGCGTGGAGGATGGTTCTCAGGAATTGTACATCATTAGAATTCTGTCATGAAATGGATTTGAACATTTTGGTACCGAGACAGTGAGAGTGATTCTATGTATACTCGTAAAATTTGGACGCAGTGCTGTTGTTATTAATGTGAAAATTAGATTCATGCAGTAACCGAATCGGCAAGAATTCTTATCTGTCTTATAAAACCTGACTAACAAGTTTTATTGTTTTGGAGAGAGATGTTTATTTGACAATGAGAAATGTGGGAAAGTTATGTACGCTTGAGATTTTTATTGTTCAACATAACCGTTCCATTTCCTATGTTAACCATAAAAAAGAGAGAAAAAAAAGTCGTTCTCATTTTTCTCTAATCAAGTAGCATAAGTTCTTGCAAAACTTTAAATCCTTTTTGAAACTATTTAAAATAAATAATAGTTTATATGATAAATGAATCATTTACGGTTAGTAAAGATATTTTTTTCATGTAAATGACTAATAAAAAAGGATTTTTTTCATGTAAATAGAGATTTTTTATTAAGTTATTTTTTACTAATCATAAATAAATTATTTACGTGGTAAATGATTTAATGTATCATGTAAACTGTTATTTATTTTAAATAATTTTAAGTTATGTTTATTTATTAGTTTTAAAAATCTACTATTTACGGCAAGCAAACACAAGCCAATATAAAAAACAAGCCAATATCAAAAGAAAGAGCTTGTTCACAGTGGAATGTTTTCTTTTTTTCCTTCACTAATTTGTTCCCCTTATGACATAAACTTTTGCATCCGTATCACCATGTTCTTATTCTTTCCATCTTGAACTTCAGCTCAGCTCTCAAATGACAACAGTGGATGAAATAGTTGAGCATTCTTGATTCTTCAGACAGGCTCGGCTGACAAGTGAACATATTTCCACATTTTATCTCCTCTTCTGGATGGTGTTATTGACTCTTGCTCTTTTGAGCCTCTACTTTCCAGTATCGCAAACTGCGTTCCTCATGGTTTCTGTGGACAGGGTCTCACCTTTGGTGCCTTTGAATTCCCAAGAATCCTCCATTTTACCTCATACACGCTGGCAGAAACATTATTTTTTTTTACAAATTATTATAAATTGCAAACATATGGATCGAAATAGAAGAACATGTAATCACAATATGATTCTATTGATCACCAGGTTACAAAAATCTTTGTGACTTTCTTCAATACAGCAAAAGAAACTCGACCAAATTTACTCTCTTATGGTTAGTCCTAATCAAATGATTAACTGACTAATCCATTTTTGTCCCACCCCAGTACGCGTTTGGAACTCATTCTAAAAGGATTTTATTTTTTGTATGAAAATAGAAATGAAAATGTTTTCAATCTTAGACAGAAATCATTTTTGAAAATGTGTTTGGTAGTTTTTTCAAGAGATTATTTTCAGTATAAAAAATCCATTAATGTTTCTTTCTACTCGAGAGAGGAGAAAACGGAAACAAAAAAAAATAAAAAACGACTAAAAGTCATTTTTCATTTCTCTCATTTTACACTAAATCAAAAAATCATTTTCATTTCCGTTTTTTATCTTTAATTGTGCCACACACCGTTTCTCTCCTGTTTTCATTTTTTTCTCGAAAAACGTAAAAAAAAAAATGAAAACAACTCCAAACACAGACAAACTTTCGCCCAGTATGCTTGTCGTCTTAAACCTGGATATCCTGAGTTTGAGTGACCGAGTCTTACTAGAACCACATTAGAACATGGAACATATAGGAATGAGATTCATGAATAGGACTTGCCTGAAAAGCATGCACAGAGAAACAGGTTTCTTTCAGAATGGCGTGTGACTCCTGAGGATCTCTTGGGACTTGATGCCTGAGATGAATGGACAAACCTAACAACCTTTTGACATTCAGAAACTTTTTTGCCATCATGAACAATGGTCACTTCACAAAATTCTGGGGCACTCTTCTTGACATATTCCCCTTTAGCCATTCTTGTCTTCAATATCCTGAACAACAATCAATCTATTCTGTTAAAAATAAACTAATTGCTATTGTAGTATCGCTGTAACTACAGTGCAACCTAAGCTGGTTTTAAGGAACTTAAGATTTTTCAACTTAGGAAATTATTTTAGCTAATTTCTTTTGAGAAAGCCTTGTATACATGTAACTCTGATCATTCTCTTTTTTTCTCCAATTTCTTCCAAAGATTATTAATTTGACATGATTAACTAAATTAAACATTTTCTTTTGTTTCGATCTAAACTGATAATTATGGAAAGAAAACAGGCAGAAGAAGTAGTTATACCTTGAATTAGGTGGTTTTTTTAGTCCCAGAACAAGATTGGTAATCCTATGAATAGCAATAAGATCTACAATTGCTTTGGCCGTGGCATCATGCTCTACCAGCACTGTGTCAACATTTACCTGCATTCCATAAACAAACCAGGGAAAAAAAAAAAAACGTTCAACAAACAATATTAAATTTCCTAATCATTGATCTTACATTCGAATTCTTTGCGCAACGTCACGATGCTATCTCGCACCTTAGCATCTTTGCACAAGCGGATGTACTTCTGCAAGATGTTTCTCCTCCGATTTTCCTCTTCCTCTATGTAGAATCTTACTTGCTCTTCTGTTAACTGGCTTCTTGATAATTTTCCAACTGTTACCAAGTTACCAATATTTCAGCAGATAAAACCAGAACAGTAGTTGCAATGGGATACTAGGCAACTGTTTTTCCTGAATATAAATATAAAAGGTTTTCACCTTTCACTTTATGATCATAATATATATTATCCTAAATAGACCCCACTTGTGACCTAAGAAGATCGTCGCTTTGTTAGGCGCTTGATTTTAAGGTTATCTCTCACTTAAGGACGGTATGCTTTAAAGTTTGAGCCCCTATTTTGTACTTGAATGTTCAACTGAATGACAGTATTGATAGGAAGTGACATGTCACTTTGATCCCATAAAAAGAAAGACCCCACTGTCGAATGACTTTTTCCCAAAAGAAAATGTTTCCATGACATGTTTGAAAAGGCTTACTTCCCCCATTTGATTCCTTTACATGAAATCATCTTTAAAAAAAAAAAATTGGTTTAATAAAGAAATGGAGAGCTTAAATGCCAGTCTACAAGGATGACAATTTCCTCTAATTAGTTGATTAAACTACTCTTCCTCTTCCGACCCAAAAAAAGGGACTAAATCTAAACTTCTAAAGATCTGTGTCCTTCACATCAGAAAGGAAATTTCTTCTTTCAAGAGCTTGAAATTTATAGATAAATAAATAAAAATATATAGCAAATATGAAGGCCATTTAGTTTCCTTAATTTAGAAACCAACAAACAAAGAACATCAAGTATAAATACTAAACTGAAGAGCATGCAAGAGCAAGAAAGTACTCATAAAGAGTGCATAATTGACATGAAAAGTCAACAAGTTTTACAATGAATTTACCAGGAGTTGGAATATGAGTGATGGGAGGGAAGACATGGACAAGATAAAGACGGGCACCCGGAGAAACGACATGATCAATAGCCCACCTCACAACATCCAAGTCATCTTTACCAACGGCAACATAAACTTCGTCGTTCACCTCCACAACATTAACTATCTCTGATGATGATCTGGCACTTTTTGTGAAGCTGTTCTTGGTGTGATTTTCATCATCCAATACTTCTTCCACTATCTCATTCACGTACTCCGGCGACTTGATCTCGTAATTCCTTGCGTTATTATAGCTGGAATAGTATTGGACGGCTAATTCTGGAACACATTCTTTATCTTCCATTTCTCTTTTTTACCCCCTTTTTTTTTTCTTCCTCACACAACACAAAAGTGGCAAAGATGAACACGTAAAGAAGACAAAAAAGGTGACAAGAAATGTATAATAGCTAGTTGGGAGAAAGAGTGGGAGATAAATATTGATAGTCTAGTTCTAGAGAGCGAAAAAAACTAGATTGGGTTTTAGTGGATTTTTCGTGAGGTTCACAAGGAAAGAGTCGTTGCCTTCAAAGCCGCAAAAAGAGAAAGAGACAAAGGCAAAAAAAGGAAGAGAGAGATTCTCTCTTGTCAAGCTTTGGATGTGTCACGACAATGTTTTGTATGCTATACCATACCTATTCTTTTTTAATTTTTCTTCCTCTCAGAGAATTTTGTGGTAAGGTGTAGAAAATATCTTGTGTGATAAGATAGATTATGTTTTCATTAAGTTCCATTACATTATCTTACTTTTCTATAATTAAGTTTGTCACGGTTATGAGCTAATGATCATAGAACACTATTTTAAACAATTAGATTTTCATCAAGTTTCATATAATCATCATATTTTTTCTTAAGTGATGATCTATTGGCTCAAAACTAGAACTACATCCTATTAGAGTGTATTTTTTAAAACTCTCTTGTACATTTTTTTCCCTTAAAAAAAGGGTACCCTAAAAAGAAACTCTTTATTTTTTTTTTGGTTGGTTCTCCTCCATACATATGTGTGGTTTGCTAGTTTTAGTACAGTTTCCAACTTTCCATGGAATTGTGAAGGAATCTCCTTTTTGTAATCGACCTCATATTCAAAAAACAGAAAAAAGCAAAAAAAAAGGACAAAGGACTTTGATTGAACATGCATTTGCAATGGTAAAGTCTAACTAAAACTAAACAAACCAATTTGATGATGTTTTCAAAGATTGTATGATACAATTTTCTTTACTTTACCTAAGCCTTACTGCATATGAGACTTTTTCAACTATACCCAGATGGGAATACAAGCTAATTTGTCCTAAATAAAGTTAAATATTGTTATATAGACGTAAACACGATTCTAATAGATATTGTTTATGTCATATTTGGACTAAGTTTGAGTGAGGAATTTTTGGTTAATCTGGACAGTGTAGAAGACAAACAAGTATCTACACCAGTCTCACAATACCATTATTAGCCACTACGCTTTTGTTTATCTGAATATAGCTGTTAAGAAGTCCTTAACTTTGGACTTTTCCTTTGACTTTTTTTTATTCCCTAAAAATTGTTTGCCCTAGAAAACATAAATACGCGGTTGGATACAATCTGTAACATGTAGACCTTGTTCTTGTATTGCATGCTAGGAAACTATAAATAATTTTAAGAGAGAGAGAGAGAGAGAGAGAGAAATGTCAATTAAAATAAGTTCAATAGATAACTTGGGCGTTCCTAACTATATTAAACTTTCTTCTAAACTTTTTTTTTTTTTCCGGAAACATTTATTTTGGTACTATGTGTTATACTGAAAATCCAAATATACGTTTGGTATTTTGTATTTTTGATAATTTTATGCAGTTACTTCGACATTTTAAAAAATAATTTTTTGATATCTTGGGGTAGTTTTTTGAGACGTGAAATATCATTTATACCCTTTACTTAATTTATTCAGATTAAAAAAAAATGTATTAAAATTATTTTAAAAACCCATAATTAAAAAAAATTAAAAGCTCTCAATTTTTAATATATTTAAAGCATTTTTTAAAATATGTATACAAAATTATAGGCTGTGTTTGGAGTTATTTTTCTTTTTATTTTTTATATTTTTCAAGAAAGAAAAAATGAAAACATGAGAGAAACGACGTTTGACACAATTAAAGACAAAAAAGGGAAATGAAAACGATTCTTTAATTTAGTGTAAAATGTGAAAGAAATGAAAAAATGATTTTTAGTCATTTTTTATTTTTTGTTTCTGTTTTCTCCTCTCACGAGCATAGAGAGAGACATGAATAGATTTTTTTATACTGAAAATAATATCTTGATAAAATTACCAAACGCATTTTCAAAAATGATTTACGTATGAGATTGAAAACTTTTCATTTCTATTTTTAGACAAAAAATAAAATCATTTCAGAGCGAGTTCTAAACGCACCCTTAGTTTCTAATTAATTAATAATAAGGGTAACTTTGACATTTCACATTCCAAAAAATTGTCTTGAAATACCAAAAATTATTTTTTAAAACATTGAAATACTTGCATGAAATTATCAAAAACATAGGATGTCAAATACATATTTTGATATAACACAAGATACCAAAATGAAATTTTATCTTTTTTTTTTCTCTTCTTGAGATGAATCTTTCTTACAACCTTGGACAGTTCATGAATGGTGGTATTTGGTGAGGGCACAATAACTAAGATGCACTGATGCACTTGCCTCAATTTAATCGCCCCAGGTTTAAGATCCTTGCTTCAAAAGTTGATATATATATATATATATTAGTATCGAGTGAATACCTTATATATGTATATGAATATTTAATCTAGTGTATGTTTATAAGATTACTATATATGTTTATAAGTTAGTATAATGTTTATTCGCTCACTAATATATGTTGATAAGTTACTATGACGATCTCGTTGCTTTTTCTTGTAAATGTGTTTTCTCGAAGAAATAATAATGGACCTATGAATGAATATTCTTGGGCTAAATAGATTCAACTTAATAGTTGAATAATTGAAGTATCTCATATCTTCAGCAAAAAATAAAAAGAAAATAGAATAAAATACCCAATTGCAAGTTGCAAAAGCAGACATTCAACTTTTTACTCCCCCAAAAAATTATATAGCTTTTCTTCCCTTTCATTTTTCTTTGTCCTTTCAATATGTTTAAAGATTTTTAGCTTCAATAATATTTTTTGAGATTTAGTGGACAAGGATTGGAGAAGGTATAAATAATGATGGGAGGGAAGCATACAACTTCTTCTTTTGCATTGTCGCTCATAATTTCTTTTATCTTTTCATTTTCGTCCCTGTTCCTTTTTCATGAGCAGGCCTTTTGCTAGGCATGCTATGATTTGTCGATCATGGCACGTGATTCAGACTTGGGGCACCAGCTGAAACGATAATTGAACAATTAGACCTAGAATGAGAGCAATTTCATGAATTTCCATAAAAAAAAAGATTAAAAAGGGCAATTCACATTTCATGTTACGTTTTTTCTTTTCATGACATTATTTTTTGTTAGTTTTATAAAAAATAAAAAAATAAAAAATTTAACCTCATGTTACTTGTTATCCAAATTTCCTAAAAAATACTTGGTCATGTGTTATTACTACTCGATTCAAAGGGAATATCATCGTTACTAATTTACTTTAGTAACAACGTGTGCAATAAAAAGATAACGAGTTTCCTTCTTTTCCCAAAAAGGATTGAAAAAATAATGGTGACATGCTATACGTTCACATGTCACCAATATTTTTCTTTTCTTTTCTTTTCTTTTTAAAAAAAAAAAAAAAAAAAACAACTCAAAGCGGGAGGTTTAAACTCAATCTCAACATTAAAATGAATGTATATTAATTTACAACAACAATAATAACACTGTTACTATTATTATTCTTTGTTATTGAGTAAGCATAATTATTTTTTACGTACTAATAAGAGTTCTACATGGTCTAAAGATAAAACAATTAGGGAGTAAATGATTCTTTGGACCTATTTTTTAAGTTAAAAAAATGCTAAAGGGAGGATATAGATATTTTTTGTCTTTTGATCAGTAGAACAACGAGCAAACTAGAACCAGAAAAAACCGGATGAAACCAAATCCACTTTTGAATATTGCCATGTAGTGTCCAATTTAGGGAGAATATTCTGTCCCCATTAAGGCTCTGCTTTTTACACTTAAATAAAAATATATTTTTCTCTTCTATTTTTCCTCATCATCACATCACCCTACCACCTAACAAGAAGCTGCTCATGCCGTTCCTTATCGTTTCTTTTTTGTAGGTTGCCTTTTTTTTTTTTTTTGTTTATTTACTTTTCACCTCAAATTGTTAACATTGACCAATTTATGTATGTAATATACATGCATGCATGTATGTATTCATTTATATAACCAATACAAATTTTATGGTAGCTAAAGAAAACTGAAATAGGCAGAAACTGAAAGACCACAATTTCATGGCACAATTTATATTGGCTTTTTTTTTTTCCTTATATTTTTTATCTTTAATTTTTTAAAATTTTGTTTTCCATGGAATGATTCTTGGTATCCAACTCAGCAAGTAAGAAGTAAGTTTAGGACTCTTCATGATCTCAAATTCAATGCTGATAAGTGAGAAGTTTTGTTAAAAGGTTATAAAGATTCATTTATCATTATATTATCATTAAAAAAAAAGAAAAAGATTGACCTTAGCAGACTATTAAAGCTGAACAAGTAACAACTTTACATAGATATTTTTATGTTGAGCGCCAATACGCACCACGAAAAATTTTATCGTGAAATTATAAACGCATATTTATTAAAATTTGTATATTTGGTAAAACTGTCCCGGAATTTTAACCGTAACAAGTTATAATTTAGTTTGATGATGTATTGCGAAACTGTTTTTTCATGATGTGTGTCATTTTTCTCTTTTTCATATATATATATATATATATATATATATATATATGCGCATGATCTAGGATACATGTGTTGTCATTTATCCATTTCATATTGGAATTAGGAAGTGGAAAAGGAAATTATAACAGATGTTGAAAATAATGAATTTATTATGATCCACATGTCTAAAGATTCAGGACCCGTTTAGTTCGCTGATTCGAGTTTTTAATTCGAGTTGATATGTGACTTTATGTGAGAGCTTTTTACTGTTATAAAAACGTTAGATGTGACTGTTTCTAAGAATTTTTTACTGTAACAAAACTCAAATTCTAAACTCGAATCGGTGAAATGAACGGAACCTGACAGACACCACTTCCAAAATTGCCAGCCAGGAAGTAGCCATGTAAAATTGAATTGATAAGCACTTTCTGAAAAGGTGGTGGGACTTAACTGAGATCCCCTAGTGGTGTCAAAGCTTCAAAAAAACTCTATTAAATAGAGATCCTTTCTAGGCAAAGGAGAAATAAAAAAATAAAAAAATAAAAAAATCCCAAGTTTGGAAACAATAATTTTTGCTACATAGACATGGCAGAAGTTTTTCTTCTCATTGTTCTCAAAGTGGTGATGATCCTAATATTTGCTGGTTGGATTTCTCTTTGGCTTCTGAAGCCCACACAGATTTGGACAAGAAAATGGAAAGAAGTTGAAGAGAGATTGAGGCCTACAATTCTTGGATATTATGGTACTATAACTTTTCTAACTTTATGCCAAAACACTTTTTTCTCTTTTTTTACATGTATGTTGTCATGATTAGCACTTTTCAAAATATGTATCAGTTACTAACACTGTATTTGATATCTTTTGCAGGTATTAACTTTGTTGTTTTTACATTCCCTGTAATAGCTTTGGCTATAATTGGATCTATCTACATGAATTTGCAGCTCAGGAAGACAAGGAGGTAATACAAAGCATATGATTGTGCAATTACCCCCACATAAAAAATTTCCAAAACTTTTGAACCTGTTCTCTTCTGGTTAATATGGATTCATAGGTCTTATGGGAAGAAAGTATTTTCTGGTATCTCAAATCCAGTGGTTGTGAACACCCTTTTGGGCACTTTTTCTGCTCTGGAGATCCTATCAATCTCCCTCTTTGCCTTGTTCTTAGCATGGACTTTTTACGCTCGCATTTCGAACGACTTCAAGGACTTGATGCCGGTAAAATCATTGAAGCTGAAAACGTGAGCACTTACCATTATCCGCAATGACATGATCTTTAGTACTACTTTTGAGCATAATTGATCATAATTGAAGTTGTATTGTATATCATCAGATGGCAACTGAAGTACTTGAGAGTGGCAACCCGGTTCGGTTTGCTTGCAGAAGCATGTTTAGCTTTACTTCTTCTACCAATCTTAAGAGGGTTGGCCTTCTTTCGGTTATTCGGCATCCAATTTGAGGCTTCAGTAAGATACCATGTCTGGCTTGGGACTGCAATGGTGTGTTTTGCCACTTTTCATGGTGGAAGCACATTGTTCATTTGGGGGATCAGCCACTACATTCAAGAGGAGGTAATTCTGCAAACTCTCTCCCTATTTCTGCGGTTTTCGCGGTAATAATTTCTTTCTTATTTCTTATTTTTCTCCTTGTTCTTTTGTACTTTGTTTGGCAAAAGATATGGAGATGGCAGAAAACAGGGAGGATATACTTGGCTGGGGAGATTGCTCTAGTTACAGCTCTAGTAATTTGGATCACAGCACTACCTCAAATAAGGAGAAAAAGGTTTGAAATCTTCTACTACACACACCATTTATATGTAGTCTTCCTGGTTTTTTTCTTGTTCCATGCTGGAGACCGGCACTTCTATTGGGTTTTCTCTGGGATTTTTCTCTTTGGTCTTGATAAGCTACTACGGATCATCCAATCAAGACCCGAAACATGCATTCTTTCTGCGAAAATATTCCCCGGCAGGACCATAGAACTTATTCTGCCAAAAGATCCAAGTAAGTTTTCAGTTCACGACTAGAAAATGCTACAAATAAAAAAATACTTAATGACTACTGGTGGTGGCGGCATAGCGGAAAGGGACGATTCTCTTCCATCCGTTAGAGGTTTGATTCCTGCCATGTGCACGGTGTTAACCTCTGGGGATTATTGATGAGAGTGTGGACCGGTCTCCTTTCCGTTCCATCTTTTGTCCCAGTAGATTCTGAAAGTGGCGCTGGATAACTGCCGATCTCTTTTTTTGTTTAGCAAAAACAAAAATACTTAGTGAAGCACTTTTTTAAACCATATTGCAGAACTGAAGTATACACCAACAAGTGTGATATTTGTGAAGATACCAAGTATATCCAAGTTTCAGTGGCACTCTTTTAGCATAACTTCCAGCTCAAGTGTTGATGAAAACACCCTGTCTGTTGTTATAAAATGCCAAGGATCTTGGACAAGTTCTCTACACAACTTGATCAATAATGAGCTAGAGTCGGATTCTAATCAGATGAAGGGCGTACCAATCGCAGTGGAAGGTCCTTATGGACCCGCCTCGACAGACTTCCTTAGGTGCTGCAACATAACTTTTCATGTCATCTGACATTCTTTTCGTTGTATGTCAGATTCATTTACATCTAAATATTTTTTTGCAGATATGATAGTCTACTTCTGGTTGCTGGAGGAATTGGGATAACCCCTTTTCTTAGCATCTTGCAGGAAATCGCTTCAGCCCCGAAAAGTGGAAACCAATTCCCAACAAGAATCCAACTTATTTATGTTGTGAAGAAATCCCAAGATATTAGCTTATTGAACTCAACATCATCCCTTATTCTAAACCAAACAACTGACCAACTTCATCTGAAATTAAAAGTGTTTGTAACTCAAGAACCGCAATCCGGTGCAACTCTAAGAGAACTATTAGATGAGTATTCACAGGTAGAGACAGTGCATTTTGACACGAATGGGTCGAGCTACGCAATAAACGGACTCGAATCTTTTCTTTCGATGGCTGCCATAGCTGGACTGTCCTCTGTTGTGTTCCTTGTCTTTCTAATCTGTTTCAACCACATATTTCTACCAGACCATAAAAATAAGAAACTCAAGTCACCAAAAGCCTCTAAAGAGAAGAACCCGTCTTCGGTTTTCGATCTGATCATCATATTTTCTTTTGTCATAGCAATGATATGCAGCACCTTACTTGCCGTTATTGTAAGATGGAGAAGGCTAAAGAGAGAAACTTCCCCACTTGTGGAGAAACATGTCAAATCTTGGCTACCAAGTTCCATTGAAGCAGGAGGAGCTCTTGATAAACATGAGATACATTTTACAGGAAGGCCTAACTTCCAAGGTATGACTTAAGATTCTACCTATAACGGAATTATTTTAGTCCGGCAGCTAGACCAATCAGCCTAACGCTGTACGTATTTCTATGTAGTACTCTGTTTGCTTTAGTGTAACATTCAACAAATACAAGTACACGTACGAAGTTATATTTACTAGACTGTACGGATGCTGGACTTAAGATTCTACATACAACTTTATTTTCTTCCATTTTGCACCAAAATTTTGTTAGTTGAAAGTATTTTTTAACATGTTATGATTTGAATTAAGCAGATATATTCACAAAGTTCCCAACTGAGACTGGTGGTTCTGATGTTGGAGTCTTGGTCTGTGGACCGGAGACCATGAAAGAGTCAGTGGCTTTGTTTTGCCGGCAGAATTCTCAGTGTTTCAAGACTGGTGCTGAGAGGAAAACAAGTTTCAGTTTCCACTCACTTAACTTCACCCTCTAGTACACCAGCTATATGTACGTATTTAACGCATAGTTAGCAAGAAGAATATATATTTGGGAATTACATTCTAAATATTCATCAACTTCTAAATGTTAATTAAGCTTGGTTTTTGCCCATGTTTATTGCGTGGTCCTAAATATGTGGAGTAATGAATGGTAGCATGTTTATGTGTATCTTTGTTATACATTACATTTGTTTTATGTATTCGTATTTGATTTTGAATCATGATTCATGGTTTTCTACAGTATTTTTCTCTCACAAAAAATACACGTAAAACGAGAATGATTATGAATCTATGAATTAAACGTCCACTAAAGTTAGTACCGATTCCACTGACAATCTAAGCAGCCAATCAATTTTTAAATTAGTGGCTGAACTTAATTGTGGATTTCTCGCCACAAAATTGGTAGTGCTTCTCATCTGATCCATTTCCAAGATTCCCTAAAGGTTTATAATCTAATAGTAATGGTTAGTGCAGAAATGAGAAATTTGCTTGAACAGAAACTCACTATTTTAGTTGGACTTGGACCAACCATCGCCGGCTACGTTTATCCCATTGTATTTGGATGCAAATGCTTCACAAGTTATCTTTTATCTGATTCTTCGAGAGAGAGTTTGACTATTAAGACTTCTTTTTTTGTTTTTTTTTTTTTTGCTAATCGACTATTAAGACTTTTTAATTATGTTCCAATTGCTGCCAAAAAAGGAATAAATATTCTTCTCAAATCTTCTCCCCGTCATCATCACATGCGACACAATCAACAATCAACAATACTAGTACTACATATTATTTTACCATTTTCGTTTAATAGAAAGACACTTTTCAATCAAAGAGTAAAAATTTACACGCCGACAAAATTTAATCACATCTATTAGCGTTATAGATTATAGATACAGTCTAATAATAGAACACATAAATAAATACAAAAGAAAGTGTAGAAAGTGGGAGAGCCTCAGACAAAAAATTAATCAAAAAGTGAGTTTCCAAAATCCGATAATAATGGCTCAAAATATTAATTAAAAAAACTATTCAGGCGGCTGAAGCCGGCGGCTGAGGATGAAGCGGAGTCGCCACCTCAGCCGACTCTCTGTCGCCGCGGGAAAAGACCGACAAAACCTCGGCGGGCGTTGCCGCTGCGGCCGCCCGCTCACCGATCAACACCGCCACCACCTCCCTCATGGTGGGCCGGCGCTGCGGGTCGGGGTGGCAGGAAGCGAGGCCCAACTTAAGCACCACCTCCATCTCCTCCACCTCATACTCCCCTCTAATCCTCTTATCCGCCGCCTCCACCACCCTCCCCTCGACGTACAAGTCCCTCACCCAGTCGATGAGCACCACCTCCTCTTCCGCCACGTTCATCTCTATCGGCCGCCGCCCGCACGCCACCTCCAGCACCACTACCCCGAAGCTGTAAACGTCGCTGGCCGCCGTCGGCGACGTCACCGTTGCCAGCTCCGGAGCCATGTAGCCGAGCGTGCCTACTACGCGCGTCGTGTTCGGCGCCTCGTTGTGGCCGTACAGCTTCGCCAGGCCGAAATCCCCGAGCCGCCCTCTCATCTCGGAGTCCAAGAGAATGTTGCTCGACTTTATGTCTCTGTGCACGACCACCTTGTCGTAGCCATGGTGGAGGTAGCTCAGCCCCTCCGCCACGTCAGCCAGGACTCGGCGGCGCCGATCCCAAGAGAGGAGGTTCTTCGGCTTATCGAAGATCCAACGGTTGAGGCTCCCGTTGGGCATGCAATCGTATACGAGCATGAGTATGTTCTTTCTCCTGCACCATCCCCGCATTTGGACCAGGTTCTTGTGCTGAAGCCTTCCCATGCTCGAGATCTCCGCCATGAATTCTCTTAATCCTTGCTTCGAATCGTGGTTCACGCATTTCACGGCGATCTCGGTGTTGTTTAGGAGGGTTCCTCTGTAGACCTTCCCGAATCCGCCGGATCCGAGGAGCTCGTCGGCGGAGAAGCCGTTCGTGGCGTCGTAGAGCTCCTCGTAGGAGATTCGGTGAGGCCAGTAATCGAGTTCCCAATCCTCTACGTCGTCGTTTTCCTCTTCGCGCTTCAATTTCCTCTTTCGCCATAACCAGAACCCTAGCGAAGCACAGAGAATTACGAACACGACGCAGCCGATCGCGATCCCGGCGATTGCTCCGGAAGATAAGGACGATGATGATTCTGCAAGGAGAAAAATCGGAAGATTAGTCGTGTTGATCTCTCTCGCGGCTCCGGTGTCGCTGAAGCTCCACGCTAAAATCCTCTGCGCTTCGACCCACTGCGTCTTCGAAGCAGAGAACCCGACGAACATCTCTTCGGAGAGGTAGTTCACGATCGCCGGATTTCTATAGGTAAGAGTAGGTCTCGACGGGCGAGATACGCCGATTGGAGCGACGGTGACGTTGATTTCGAGATTTTCGCCGTCGAATTCGATCCAAGCGCGAACATTCCTACCGTCTTTCATTAGGATCGGGACGAAGGATCCGGTTGAGTTGTAGTATCCGGCGGACTGAGTCACCGCCGATTCGATGTTGTTCAGGTCGATCCCGATGTGGTTGTCGTCGGGATCGTTGAACTCGGTGTTCCGACCGGCGTCGAACTCGACGGCGAAGAGCGGAGCGACGAGGGGCTCGGCGGCGTTGGTGAAGAGGCCGAAGTACTGGCTGGCGAGGGCGCCGGGAGGGGAGGTGTAGTTGGAGAGAACGAAGCAGAGGCCGAAGCCGGGACTGGTGCTTATCTCCGGCAAAATGGAGAAGACGAAGGAGGTCGAAAACGACGTGACGGAGTAGGATGAATTGCTGCTGCTATTTGTGTTGTTTGCTCTTCGCATGGCGACCCTCGTCGGATAGAAGGCGCGGCCAAAGGAGAACTGGTTGGAGTCGTTGGTCAGGCGGACGACTGACGAGTCGAAACGCGCGTCGTTTATGAGCGTGACGGTCGTCGAGTTGCCGGCACTGGAGAAGGAGTTCAGGAGAAAGTCGATCGCGGAAGCCGGAGAGAGAAAGAGAGAGAAGAAGTGGAAGATAATGAAGAGAGAGAGGATCCCCATCCGTACAGAATCCGGTGACTGGCGACTACTCGCCGGTAAAGAGAAAGAGCTCATGTTGCTAGTAAGTGCATGTGAAGATATGAATTGAACATTATCAAAATGATGACGATAAGAGAGCTTTCTCGTCATTTTACTCTGTTTTATTTATTTATTTATAAATCCAAAAGGAGGTCATAAGCCGCCGTCATTAGGTGGACTATTCAAAGTATCGTTGTCCACTTCTACGCAATTTTTCCTAACTGTGTTCTCAGTTTAAAATTTAAATTTTATTATAATATAAAAATTTTAAAAACAGTTAAATTTATTTTTTTTATTATAATAAAAAAATTTCACATAAAATTATATTTTAATTTAAATTAAAGAACTATCTTTAATTTTGTTGTTATTACTTTACTTTATGCGGGTTATTATCAGAGTAAAGTAACACGTTTTGAAGTGTGTAGTAATGTTAAAATTTTCGATGATTATTCTTGACTAAAACTAGGTAATGTTTTATGGAATTTCACTTGTGTCTTGTCTTATTGAAGTATGTTTACGGTTTAACAAGTGCAAATGATAGCAGTTTCTGACTTCTAATTTTTGGCATGTTTTCAGTGGGGGCGTATTTGCCAGTTTGGGGATGTTGGTTTACGTATGTTTTATTCTTATTGTGTTTTTTTCCCCCCCTAATCTAATAAGTTTCACAAGGTGGTTGGCAGCTTGGCTGTAAACTGTTGTCCTCGTTGACTTGGAATATCTTTTCATTATTAATCTAATAATTTCCTTTTAGAGGTTGCTTTAGAGAGGGAAACTCCTTTGGGAATTGGGATTATGATTATGCCGGAATAATACGAAGTAAAATAATTTTAAAATACGTATGTTTTTCTACTCAACGGAGGGAATCTTTTGTAGCCAATTATGCATCGGCATTCGCAACGTGAGAATTTTTTATTTCACCGATTTGAGTTTTTAATTTTAAATTTTTACAGTAAAAAATTCTCATAAAATGTCATATCAAAATTTTTTACTACAATAAAAAGTTCTAAGAAAATGTCACATCTCAACTTAAATTGAAAACTCGAATCCGTAAAGTGAACGGGACCTATAGCGGAGAATAATATTATTTTGTTCTTTAAATTATTATTTTTAATTATTAAATAATTTTTTAATAATAAGATCTGTATATATTTATATTAAAAACTTATGCCATATAAAATTGCTTCTACTACCTATTGCAAATCACATCGTTAAGGGCCCGTTTAGTTCGTTGATTCGAGTTTTTAATTTGAGTTGAGATGTGATTTTATGTGAGAGCTTTTTACTGTAGCAAAAAAGTTAGATGTGATTGTTTGTGATAGATTTTTACTGTAGCAAAACTCAAATTCTAAATTTAAATCAGCGAAATAAACGGGGCCTAATTCAATAATTAAAACATAATTTTTATTTGTGGAGTAAAACAGTCGTCTCCATTATAAATGCACTCTGAAATGCTAAACTGTCGACGCTGAAAAGACGTTCGAAGTAAGATAGGGGATGAGAGTCGTTGACTTATCATGAGGCTTATTAATGGCCTAGCAAGCCCAGTAAAAGGCCCTAATAAAAAGGCCCTAAATACTCGTTGACTTTATATTGTTCCAATTACGACAACCAAAAGAAAGAAGGAAGAGAATGAAAGAGAGTTCATATTAAGCGAATGGGGAATGGATTTTCAGCCCCGTTTATTTTGTTAATTTAAATTTAAAATTTAAGTTTTATTACAGTAAAAAACTCTTAAAAATAGTCACATTTAACTTTTTTATTACAGTAAAAAGTTCTCACACAACATCACATCTCAACTCGAATTTAAAACTCGAATTAACGAACCGAACGGGTCAGTATTACAAATGAATGGATTTTATGGCGGTCAAAGGTTCGGTTGACTAAAAATATCAAATGTTTCTACATTGCATGGCAAATATTCAGCATTTGACGCAAGCAAGATCTCAAGCACACCTTTTTTGAAGGTTAGACGAATTCACTAGTTAATGAGAACAATCTTTAAGGTTTTCTTTTTTCAGATTTTATTCTAAGATTATTTATTGAAGGCTAGACGAATTCACATTAAAAATTTATTTAAACAGGTAGAAAAGTTCCATTTTTTAGACACGGTAAAAAAAATAAAAATAGTCATACAATAATCATACGATGTCTATAGACGAGGACATCGACAATGGATCTTGGAAAACGACAATAATCTTACAAATAACTTGTTTTGAAAACGACATTAACAAAAATGACGACATCTCTTATAATACTATGTCTATAGACGACAAAACATAATTATAAAACATTGTACGCCGATTACAACATTTAAGAAACCGTCGACCTCTGCTCAAACTGGCAATATCATATAAACGACAACAGTCCAGCCAAACACAAACAACGACGATGATTAATTGAAAAGAAATATATACTAATACTTCTGTAAACGGTGAAAATTTGAAAACAAGTCGCAACATTCTACAAAAAGGGTAACAAATGCTAAAACGACAGTGAATTGAATAGGCAATAATATAAAGGACAAGATTTTTAAGAAACGACAATGTATATTGTAGACGACCGCTTAAAGTAAAAGACCACCCGCACACTACAACAGCCTACAAAACGACCAGAAACTACGAAACATGTTAACCTATCAACAAGCGACAACAACTTCAAATAAAATATTCTAAGTGTCTAACGTCCATAACAAGAGACTTTAAGATTGACAATATTCTGGGTATGCGACAAACATAAGGAAAACAATTATGTATCCCACAAACGACAATATGCACAAGGATGAGACCATGATAATAAATGGAAAGAAGGCTATTAATGACCACGTATCTTACGATGGGCGAAGACATGAAAACGACAACTTGTGCGACGTTTGCTCTAGAACAAAACTTTGAAGCAACGATAACTTAGAAGGATTTCACACATGATTGGTTGACTCCGGTGCAGAGTTCTAATCCTTAATCTCGAAGTTCAAAAAAAAGAAAGGAAAGATTTTTAACTCATTTGGACACTAAATTATTTAGTCGGTGACAATTGAATCCTCTCTAAATTATGATTGGCTAATTCCATCATAAGATGTAGAGTTTATATCCTCTAATTCCTAAATTCAAAAGAAAATAGAGGGTTTTTTAACTCATTTTGGACTCTAAATTATTAGTAGATGACAATTTGATCTTTTGTCTCTCAACATTTGAAGGGTTTTATATCCTCTAATCCCCAAATTCAAAAGAAAATAAAGGCTTTTTTTGGACTCTAAATTATTAATAGATGACAATTTGATCCTTTATCTCTCAACATTTGAAGGGTTCCGCACATGATCAGTTGACTCCATTATAAGTGTAGAGATTAAATCTTTTAATTCCTAAAAGAAAAGGGAAGGATTTTAAATTCATTTGTACTTCAAATTATTTCATAGGTGATAATTTGATCCTCTCTCCCACTCTCAAAATTGGTAGCAAAAGGTTTAATATAGTTGGGATTTTTTAGGGATTAGTATCTAAACTTCCCCTGTATTTTATCAAAATTAAATTTTTTATATTATGTTTTCAAGATTGCGATAATTATCACTTGTGCGTTTAGTTTCAACTTTAAAGCCTCTTATTTTACAACATGTGAATTTGATCAAATTTGAAGTGCAAAAAGAACATTTTAATATACTTCAAAATAATTGAGTTTACCCGATTTGGAAAACCCTTGGTTTTTTTTTTTTTTTTTTTTGACATTATGGAAAAATCTTGGTTGAAATAGTCTTTTTGGCACCTTGAGCTTGACCAACTTGTTAAAAAGGAGGTTTCTAAAATAAAATTAAAATGTAATGGATCTCTGAAATTTTTTACAACAAGGTAAAAAGTTACATTTTTTGTCACCCACCCTTTTAAGCTTGACCTAGTAAGCCTAAGGCTCAAAGCGGGCTGGGCCTGTATGCCTAGAGGTCCAGGTTTTTAATCTTATTAAAAGTATAATTTCGAATTATAAATGTATATCTTTTTCTCCGTCAAAACTTAATTTTGACTTGTAAACTGACCAATGTCAAGTAACTCCCTCGCAGAATAATTTGGTAATTTATAAGTCAAAATACTAAAAAAAGTATAGATTTATATATTAATTGTAATTTGAAGTTATCATTATGATGATATTAAAGCCTAATGATATACTTTTTAAATAAACATAAAACACAATATATAAATAGGTAAATAACTAAAAAAACCCATCGACTTTGTGTTAACTCGTCATATATATATATATATTAAAATTTGTCATATGTGATTTTAATCAGATATAAAGTTCATAAACATACCCGGGTAATTTCTATTATATATAATTTGGGCAATAAAGTTTTGGAAGAGAGAAAAATTACAAAGATAAAAAATAGTGCAAGCAAACAATTTAGAGAAAATTACCATTGAGATGGTGACATAAAGATAAAAAAACGACCTGTCTGAGCTTTCTCATTTAGCACCATGGATTGATTCTCATTATCCACATTAAAGCTGAAATTATGCCTCTTGTCGAATTGCAAAATATGGTCTGAAATTAAAGCTGATTCTCATTATCCACGTAGCATGATCGAGAGATAAAATAACTAAGAGGAAGATACGGAGTGGTGGTAGAGCGTATTGGATGGACGTTGACCATTAGCGGTCAAGTATCCCTGTCCGAGGAGTCGACTAGATGGAACCAAAGTCATACTGAAAAGACGAACGCTCCACTGACCATGAACGAAGAGCGCTTCATTATTGCAGAAGACGACGAACCCACCCACGTTCAGGTTGAAGTACGACTGTGTCAGGATTTGATGTGCATTAAATGCATGTAGAGTAGGTGGTGAGGCCGGTGGAGAAAATCGGGTAGACTGGCTGAAATCTCGGTAATCAGAGGTTACTGTTCCCGAGTGGAGAAAGATATCACGAGATTTTGATTAGATGATTGATAATTGACAGATGACACGATGTATATAAATAGAAAGAATGGGGTTGAAAGGAGGTCGGATCATTGAACCCCCTCTCCCCAGAACTTATATTTTCTCTACCAAAAATAGTGAAAAACTAAGGGCCTGTTTGTTTGCGTTTTCATTTTCGTTTTCACGGTTTTCAAAGCAAAAAAATGAAAACGGGTGTTAAAAACGTGTTTGGTGCAATTTTTTTTAAAA